CTAGTAATGGAGTTGCTTCGCACTTACAACCACAAGGGCAATCCTCCAGTGGCTTGCATCAACCGCAGGGCTACAACAATGGTGTCGGCCATGCAGCGAATATGAGCGGGGCGTTACATCCCGCTGGTGGACAAATGGCGACTCCAGCGTCGCTGTCCTCAAACGAGCTAGCCATAGGTAGCAACGCACACCAAGCTCAGAATAACAGCTTAACAACGATGCAATCCCCAAGTCAACCGTTCCAACCGGACTTTATCGAGCTAGATACTGGCTCCGTGGATCCGGTGGCCTTCACCGGGCCTGGAGAGCTACAAGGCTTCAAAGTGGTCCCGAACCCTCCGCATCTAGATTACTGGAGAGATAGATTGTTCAATGTTGATGAAATGATCACCTTGAGTGAAGAAGAGTATGCAGACTCCATTGCTGGAATTATTTCTACCCTACTGAGAGGCTAACTTGCACCTACTTTTCTACAGATTCCAAACCTACTTCCCCCATGTTGACAATGTATACTCCCATCGCTCAACCCAGCGGTACAAGCGTAAACCCTTCGTCTCCCATTACTGGGACTGTCGACTCAAAGGAAGGCCACCCGGAACCCCCAAATCTGACGATCCAGAAAAGAAGAAACGCAAGCGTACAGCCAGAGAACGGGATCTCTGCCATGTCAAGATCAAAGTCGTTGAATACTTCCCAGTGTCTGAAATATCAAATATGACCCATGCAGTCGAGCCCTTGCCATCTAACATCCTGCCGGGCATGTACACTTTCTCTCTGAATGACGATCCCGCGACCCGAAATGTCCAAACATTCGGTATGCTCACGCCGAACCCTGCCTTACCGCCAAATCATCCGGGATCAAATGGTGGGAGATATTTCACCATACAACGGGTGAATGGTAATGGTGCCAACGGGAAGAATGATGGCGTGTGTGGCGGTCATCAACATACGCTTGAGGAGAGTGATCGTGTCAAGAAGAGTAGTGTGCAACGATACGTTCTGAAGGAAAAGAAAGATAAAAGGACGAGAGCGGTATGTCAATCCTGTTTTGTTCTGTTCATTTGCACGCGAAGTATCCCCGAACATCCCCGCATGATCCCGGCTACGTCACAAGTCTACATTGACTTCATACTTTTCACATCCCGAAGATGAAGTCTTCATTTTGATTCAAATTCTAGCTTTTTGAATTGTGCAGCTTTAACAAAGAATACACAATAGGACCGAGTCATGTCTCGAACAGGCCAAAAGTCATACCATACAAAAGCGACGGGTCTGGCCGCTGAGACTGCGATCAAACACTCTGCCGACGTTAATCTCAAGCTATATGGGAGCTGCTTCTGGTGGGATCCCCTTAGATCGTCGTTATGACCACAGCTTCTTGTGTACTGACTAGCCTGCATGTTTAAAGCCCCTTCGTTCAACGGGTATGGATTGCGTTGGAACTGAAGGGTATCCCATACCAATACATCGAAGTGGATCCGTACGAGAAGCCCCAGTCACTGTTGGAGGTAAATCCAAGAGGCCTTGTTCCTGCTTTGCGGCACGACGACTGGGGATGCTATGAAAGCAACGTGTTGTTGGAATATGTAAGGAAACCGAATTGTCAATTCCCCATTGCCTTTCACTGACCAATCCCTCGCAGCTAGAGGATCTAGGTGTAGGGGCTGCAATGCTCCCAGCAGATCCAAGGCTGCGTGCCCATTGCCGGTTATGGGCGGATCATGTAAGTAGACAGACGTGTCTGGTGATCATCACTGATAGCCCTCTAGGTCAATCGGCATATCGTGCCGAGTTTCTACCGCGTACTGCAAGAGCAGGATCAACAGAAACAGATCGAGAAGACACAGGAGCTGCGGGACGCGATGGAGAAGCTGCTCGAAGTGGCGCATCCCAAGGGGCCCTTCTTCATGGGTCCACAGATGTCCCTTGTGGATGTTCAAGCTGCCCCGTGGATAATTAGGCTGCGGCGGGTCCTGAAACCATACCGGGGATGGCCGGATGCTGAGGAGGGAAGCAGATTAGCCTCTTGGGTGGATGCAATCGAGACCGACCAGCATGTGCAGGCGACAACTAGCACGGATGAGCTGTACCACGACAGCTACGAGCGATATGCCCGTAAGTATTGCAAGCGTGTTTCTTCTTTTTTTCAATGGCACTACTAACACCTCATGTCATAGAAAACCGTCCAAACACATCCCAGGTCGCAAATGCGATTAACGCGGGACAAGGCCTTCCTTGATTTCAGAAGAAATGTATCAGACCGCCATTGTCCTGAAACGAAAAAATATTGGCCAAATGTATATTAGCCCGTTCGAGCACCTCTGTTGAAATTGAAGCCACCCCTTCCACTTGCGTCAGGGCCTCGAGGATTACGCACTGGCTGCTGTGGAGCCTGAGTGTCGGAACCGCTTCGCTCAACTTGCGGACGGCCACCTCTTTGTAGGAAGGGTGCATTTGACTTGACCGCAGTGGAGGGATCGTAGAGATGTTTCGATTTGCTCGAGGTAGACGAGGAATCTCTCTTCTGATGGTCTCTTCCGCCACCACGTCCTTTGCCTCTCCCTCTGCCCTCGCCTGTAGGAGTTTGACGAGGCGGGGTCGTACTACCGGGCGATGAGGTACCCGAAGCTGTCGCAGAAGGGCTTCCAAACAGACGTTCGCGCACTTCTTCGTATTTCCGCTGCTTCTCCTCCCGATTCTTTAGTGCAATAGCATGGCGCTCCTCAGGTGTTGGCTGGGGTGGCTTATTGTCCTCGTCCGAGTCGTCGTCGTCTAGTCCGAGTCGGCCAAGTCCAGCCGCCGCGGCAGTAATTGTTCTCGAGGATGATGAATGTCTTGTCACAAGCTGAGGTTTCCGACTCAGCAGTGTAACCGCGGGTTTGAAGTCTTGCTTGAGGGGAACATCGGCGCGTGCTTCAACGAAGTGGAATGTTTCTGTGGATTCGCTGCAACCCAGTTCAGTGAACAACCCACAGAAATGCGATAGGAGCTAGCTGGCGATTGAAACTTACGCTTCAGCCCACAGTTGGCGATTGAACTCTGCCTGTTCCGCTCTGCGTTGCGCCTTGGTCACCTTGGATGAGACTTTCTTCTCGGACGGCGGGGTAGATTTGGAGTCGAGCGTCTGTGAATGATGACCATCAGCATGCCATTCATGACTTGAAAGCATTGAGTAGACTTGAATAACAGAATAGTGTCTGTCTCAAATGTCGGTATAGTCCCCTGGTATTACATACATCTGCTTGGTTTTCCCAGGAATCCTCCCAGGCATCGGGAACTGCACCGGAGTTTGCGCTCATTGCACACAGAATGACGGAATAGGATTGAGAATAGAGAGGGATATCGAAAACAAATCTAATAAAAATATGTAGCCTAATGACAAAGGCTAATAGTTCGTATGTTCATGTAGTATATAGCTGGGGAAGAAAGAAGAAGAAAATTCATGCGAGACGGGGCCACCGCCTGTCGACCGTTGATCTCTCTCCACTCCCCGCTTGACGATTGAGAACTTTGGAAACTACAAATCGGCCATTTAACCCATTTTTGACAATTCCCGACTAACAATGGCGATTGGTAAGTTTTATCTATTTCCTCAAAAGCTATACGATGTAGCCGAGAGAACACAGTGGGCCCGGCGATATCGATAGCGCTCCACATATGCACCCGCCTCTTCTTCCTTGTTACAAACGACGAGCCCGGAGTCACATCCATTAACAAACACCTACTAGACCCCAAAGACCCGGACGGCGACTCTACAATGACCTCCTCTGTTGATTCCATCCGACCCGACGACGGTGCTAGAACCGGCGCCCGCACTCCGACCGGCACCAACCAACCTTCCTCGGCTGGCGTTGACGTATCGGAGCTTTCCCCTCCCGGCTCCCAGACAAAGCAAGAGGCTGACGCCTCTGTTGGTGATATTGGGACTGCGCTGGAACACGGCAGAGGACTGCCTGCGGAGAAGACGTTCGAGTCGAATGTCGCGGCGTGGAAGAGCAAGCGCGCTCAAGAGGATTACCAGCGCGCTATGGAGTATGTCGTTGATAAAGATTTCAAGCTAGGTATGTGGCTTCTTATATCTATTTGATATAGCGTGGACTGTGTTCTATCCATGGATGTCTGTATAGTCTGCTGACTGGTTACCTTGTGTTCAGATGAATTCGGGGATCCTTTTGATGAACGTGACTTGGCGGAGAAGTTGCTATGAGTCTCTGCATTTTGGGGGACCGTCTGCCATCTGGGCAGCATACGATATGAATAATGAGATACGACTTGATTCTTAACCTCGCCGTTCTTTGGGTACATTTCGTCTACAACGAGCCGGCAATGTTTGCCCACCAGTGTCAGGCGCTTGTGGCTCGAACTGCTTCAGCTTACTGCATGCAACGTAACAGAACGCTACTCCATACTCGTTCCATATCTGGGAGCATTGTTGCCTGCTACCCTTGTAGATGGCTTTGCCAGAGAGACATTCTGTGTCCGATCTTTAGGGAAATAGATCTGTAAGACGTAGAAACCCCTTAGAACCATGATATGATTCCAACCTGCTTTCTTTTCTAGGCTTCCCTCGATGGATGTTTCCAGCTTGGCTAGTACCTTCGCTGATCTATATATACAGTCGAGATATATACTAAATTTTTCGTTATTTTTTCGATATGGCAATGATTGCAATTGAACTAGTAGACATCACGCGACTTCTAAGGTTCCAATGAGATTCTATACTTCGTGATCGCCATGTCAGGGCTCTCCCATGCGGTGGTTGGCAGGGCAACGGGACAAAGGGTATCAAAGCAAAACCACAACGGCCCGCTTCACTTTCGCATCCATCACGACAATCCGACATTTTACTGAGGGGCACGCCCAGCTGCATCCTTCCATTTACATATATTTTTTTTGCATTGTATTAGATAACTTGGCTACGTGGTTCATCTAAACTACTGGTACTACGTCGCCAAATCGAATTCCAACGGCTTTGACACATTCTACGCGTGTCAATAAACATGGAGAAGCACCCTCTCTCGCCGCAAGCATGGTATGTCGACTCTTTCTTTCATTCTGCTTGTGAATTCAATTTCGTTTCCTTTATATCAAAAGGATCATTTGTGCCTGTCGCTCAGGGGTTTGGTCTCCTGGCTTCTCTCTCTTTCCCCCTTTATTTTTTGAGACACACCGCCATATAGACTTGAACTAACGCAAACCTCTCACGCGGCAGCGGCTCTGCCAACCCTCCCACTGAAGGCTCCTTCAGTTTCACGCCTATCAAAGCACTGAGCGCCTTGCCGCGCCTGTGGGATCGCAAACCCTCGACGCCAGTCCGGGCCGGAGACAAGACAAGAAAGTTGTGGAAGCGCATTCGCTTCCCGTTTACCGGCATGACTGCCGCGACAGAAGACCAGACCTCGGGGGTTGGCGCCTCTAAAAACTCGGATTATCAGCGCGGCGTGAAGCGCCAGTGTGTTGACCCCGCCGACGCAGACCAGGAGACCGAGGCCGAGAAGCGTGGTCGGTCTTTCCTGGAGACTAAATGGGAGATGCAGGCGTCTCGGAAGCGACGTAAGTATCCTTCTACATCATGCGAGCCGTATGGATCACGCATCGCATCCTGCGCTCCCGCATTTAGAAAGACCATTCATCTGATAATTTGCAGGCAAGGTGCCCGAATTCAATTTCAACATCCACGAAGATGGCTCCCATGAGGTGTTTGGTTTCACTGCGAACCAGCCCGAGGACGTGCCCAAAGATGTTGTCGGCGACGTAGCTACGAATGCGTCAACCCAGCCGCTCAGCGATCTGTGGGAGACTTCCAAGACACCGGTCTACAATGACAATATGGCCACCGATACAGCATCCAACACAAAGACGGCGCAGGATCTACAGTCTGCACCATCCAGCCAAGACACGCCTACTGTGATCGACAACACAGGAGAGGACAAGACCGCTGTCGTGTCCACAGAGTGCGTGCAAGACCTGACGCAAGAGCAGGAGATCAAGCTGGTACGATCGGCATTGCGAAGCTCCTTGGATGGAGAGGACGCAGAGCTGCTCAACGACTTCCTGTTCAGGGCGAATGCGAAGCGGGCTGCCAAGGCCACGCATCCCGAAGATTCGAAATCAACGGAGATGTCTTCCAGCACGAAGGAGTCGCCAGAAGTTGAATGCTCAACTCCACCACGCCGTGTGCTAGTGGAACTGACAACCAATTCACCTTCACCTGTCAAGCTGCAAATCTCGCCTAGCAAATTTGACGCGAAGCGTGGTGCCGATGGCGCCGATGATCAGGAGGATATCATCCCCAAAGAGCTGAAGGAAGAACAAGCCCCTGCAAGCCCTGCATATCGTCGAAGCACCCGTGCCAAAGGCTCGAGCACCCCTAGCATGCGCAACACTATCTCACTTCGCCGAGCCAAAGGGACAGAATTCGTTTTCCTACAGCGAACCGAGACCCAGCAGGTGGCCATGGCCACGAAGCGCAATACCCGGTTCAACAAAGGCAAATCTGTAACTCCCATGGTCGCCCTAGAAGCTCTGGCTCAACAGTCGAGCGAGCAAGAGCTTCAGACGGGCAACTCACAGAATGAGGACTCAAATCACAAGGACACTAACTTCCGTGGGCTGATCAAACCGCGAAAGCAAGTGTCGTGGAATGAGGAGCGTATGGCCGAGTATGAAGAGTACAGAGAACCAATATACGACCAGGAGGATGAAGAGGAGGGTGACCGATGCACGAATGACGTGGGCGCAACGCCTCGCCCGCGACCAGAAAGCAAACGTTCGGTGAAGAAGGCAGAGTCCGGCCATCGCAGCAGCCGTAGCCAAACGCAAAAGGCAGATGTAAATGCCGATAGTGGGGCCACCGAGAGCGGTTCAACCCCGACTACTGCACCTGCTACTGTAACCCCCCGCTCACGCCGCGTGAGGCGTTTGGGTGACTCGGGTATCTTGGGGTCTGGTACCCCAGTTAAGACTGGAAGTCGCAGCACAAGCAAGCCTCCTGCAGCCTCGGCAGCCTCGGCAGCCACGGCGTCCGCTGCTGCCCCCTCCACACCTACCAAGGGCCGCCGCAAGCTTGCTCCCAAATCGCCTATCTCGTCCAAGCTTCCCGCCCGAGCCTCCAAGGGCGCCAATAACACTGCGGATCATTTCGTCAGTGGTATCCCTACTCGCAGCTCAAAAAGCACAGATGACGGAGAGCGACAGAGTATGCTTCAGATGAGTGCAGGGTGCACACCCACAGCTCGGCGCGTTCGGTCGAGATCTTGATTATCACCGAATATGGTGCGATTCTCACTAGATGATACGACTTTTATACACTGCTGGCCGGTCTTTGATCCTTCTATACCCTCCCATTATGACACTCTTTACTTATCCGGGGAGTTGTTCGTGCTTTAAGATACCAATTCCGTTTTTCATGTATGCATTAATGAACTTGAAACTGTTTCACTTCATCTTGATCAAGATAAGATCTGTAGCTGCACGGTTCACCTGCCCTATGCAGAGTGACGTCTGTGCCGTTGCGCCACGCTGCCCCTCCAAGCTTCGGGAATTGTTAGAGAGGCATTCCACTCTTGGAAGGTTTTCCTGTTCCCATTCTCTGACTGTCTGCGGGTTGAAACCAATATCCGCACGGTCTTAGCTTATGCACCTAGCCGCTTTGACAAGCTCTAGGCTCTACCCGTGGATGACATTGGCAGCGGCGCATGTCTGTTCCGTTGATCCCTCATGCAGTGGCTTGCATAGGGGGGGGTTTTTTTTTCAATCTCCTATCGTACCTTCCAATCACAAACTATGGATATGTTGGTGGCTGCCAAGGTTGTTTCTCGTATTGATGCCTGGTACATGTTGATCCCTTGTTTTGATATTTGAAAATGGCCCAGAGCAAGTCTGCAAGTTGACTGCGTTAATTCGTCACGTCTTTTATACAAGTATCTTGTAGATGTGCAGTTGTATCTCATATGATATCCCACCACGCAGCGACTAGGTATGTTATATGAGTATGTCCAATATGGATACTCAATCAGACTGCACCACCCCAACTGTGCAGGCCAATAATGCAGTATACTTATGCTGCAGCAGCCATGAACACCCACCCTCCCTATCGTAGACTAGGAAACCGGTTATCAAACTTTGATGCAATCTCCCGAGGTTCCTCCCTCGGCCTCAATCGGGATTCCCGATCTCACTCGGCATGGTAGAACCCGAACCACAAGTCTCGAATAGAAAGTCAAAGTGTTTCATTACCAAAGAAATGAGGCATTAAATCCCGTCATTGATCGGCCGAATGGAAAAAACAGTTGACAGCGAGCACAATACCTAGACGGGTGAACCAATAGCAAATAAAAACCCACGCGCTAAGCAACAAAATGTTCAATGAGGAAACTAAGTAAAACATCAAGACCAATGTGCTCCGATCACCCAATCAAGAGACTCATTGCCTTATTCGGCATGTCGGTGTTAGTATCTCATCCTATTCTAGATATTCTATAACCAAATCCACATCCGACATCACCCGGACAGGACAGTAATCATCAACGCTAAGATCCAATGCGGTAAGCGCGCGAGAACGCTGAGAGCCCCTTGAGTGGCGCAGCGGTTTCCGAGAGCCACAAGTCAACGCGAGATGACATCGTCCGCATCGGAGCACACTGCTCCTGTTTGCGGATGCAAATGCTGAAGAGTATTTTTTGAAAGAACCTCTCATACAATTGTACATCTTTGGCCGCTTTTGTACTATTTTCCGACTAACATGTTAGCTTGTCAGGTACAGTGTAACCCTACGGCTTGTCCTCGGGTTCCTTTTTTTTTTTAATATTTTTCTTTTTTCTCATTTGCTTTGTCTCATTGGTCGAGGATGCTAGGTACAATGTAAGTACGAAGTACTGGGGTACACTGTTACAACTGTAGGGTCCTTTTTTTTTTTTTTTTTGCAAATCTCGCTTCCCTTTTCGATTGTCTTACCATATTATTATTCTCTTAAAATTGGTAATCTTATTCTGGGTTGGTTAGTTTTGACCCGTCTCGTTCATTGGATATAGACATTGTTGATGGGTGGATCCTGGCGGGAGTTTGGACCTACGGAATGAAGGCTGTGGCAGCCGGTGTGTGAGATTGGGTGATTGGTGTCAAATGAAAGCTCTCGAAAGATCCCGAGTATACGGAGTACGGAGTACGGGAGAATGGTTTACGGTATAGCTGAAACAGAGTAAAGTGAGATCAATGGTATGTCCAATTCATCTAACAGAATTCGTAGTCCGTTCATTTAATCATTTCCACCCAAATTCCCCGTTTGGGGGTATTATTTTCGTCTTTCTGTAAATCTATCAAGACAAAATCTAAAGGGAGAGACCCTTGGCAGAATCTTCGGGCCAGACATCGTAGCCGAAGGTATCCTTCATGTTGACGAAGCGGCAGTGACGGCCCTTGGCCACCTCATTGACAGCTGCGAAGTCGGCATCACTGAGCTCGATGCTCTTGAAGTTGGACTCAATGCGCTTGGGGTTGGAGCTCTTGGGGAGGACACTGTAGCCACGACGCAGACCCCAGGCAATCAGAACCTGGGCGAGGGTGTTGCCGCCCTTCTCGGCAACAGCGTTCAGGGTCTTGTTCTCGCTGACCCGCTCGCCCGTCGTGGGGACCTGGTTCTGCGAGCCCAAAGGCGAGTAGGCCTGGGGGAGAATGTTGTGGGCGAAGCAGTACTGCACCAACTCATCGTTGGGCAGGAAGGGGTGGATCTCAATCTGGTTAACCATGGGCTGGACCTTGGCGAACTTGGCCATGGCCTCAAGCTGGGGGATGGTCCAGTTGGACACACCAATGGCCCTAGCCTTGCCATCGGCATACAGCTTCTCCATGGCGCGCCATGTCTCCTCGTGATTCTCGGTCAACTCCTTGAGGATCACGTACTATAACGTGTTAGTGGGGAGCTCGTGTGCTCATTGCGGGGTAAGCTTCTCTTACCTTTCCATCGGGACCAATCTTGGGCTTCTCCTGGCCATCCTTCTCGGCAGCAATGGGCCAATGGACAAGGAAAAGGTCAACGTAGTCGAGCTTCAGACGCTCGAGAGAGTTGTTGATGGACCAGAGGACGTCATCGTAACGGTGCAGGTGGTTCCAGACCTTGGTGGTCACGAAGATGTCCGAACGCTTGACGGAGGGATTGGCCTTGAGGAAATCACGGATTCCATCACCAACTTCATCCTCATTGAGGTAGAACCAGGCACAGTCAAGGTGACGGTAGCCTGTGTTGAGGGCAGCAGTGACGGCGGCGTAGGTCTCGCCCTTGGAGCCCTCGCTGGCGAAGGTACCAAAACCAACGGCAGGGATTTTCACCCCGTTGCTCAAAGTGAAAGTCTTTCCAGATGACATGATTGCAATGTAATTGAATATAGTTGGAGAGTAGAAAGAAGAAAGGATAGCTGTTGAAGGATAGCTGTTGAAGGATAGAAGATAGAAGAGTGGGGGAAGCTTAGGGAGCCATGACGATGCCGGAAGTGGGGTGGAGGGGTTGGAGGGGTAGAACCTTGGAACTTAGATAATTTTTGTTTAAATTATTTCAATTGAATTTTGAATTGCATGCAATATATTGTGCATGTATACATGGAATATTGCAACTTAGCCTTACTTTCCTTTTCTATATGTCGATCAGAAACCCTGACTCTAATTGGAGATCGTCCCCTGACAAAATGAAAAGAAAACTGAATATAATATAATAAAAATGAATGGTATATGTAAGAAAAAAGGATAAAAATGATTAAAAATGATTAAAAAAATAAAATATTAAAAAAAAGACCAAAATTACCACTGGTAATTTTCAAAGCTCCCATGACATCACCAACGATGTTTTGAGCGTTTGACCTGATCGTCATCGGCTCCATCGATCTTATGTCGGGTCCACGGGCGAACTTCACTCTAGTCCAATCGTCTGTCCGTATCAGGTCTCTTCCTACCCACTCGGCGTGCTGCGTTGCTTCATACTCGGCCCAGCAAGTCTGGTTCTATCCAATCAACACCTTTCTGATTCAATTTCGGCGGGAAGGTGACCGTCCCGTGTACTGGGTACATGGCGAGACACTGTATCAGCCACAATGACGCAGGTACCTTGTACAAGGTTGTCTCAATTGCAAGAAACGGTCCACCTTATATCTTGCCAAATGATGACGATAATTCCTAGGGATGATACCCGGTGAGTGGATCCTTCGTAACCTCAATGGCAAAATACCAATTTCGTTTGTCTCCCCCATTGAGTTCGGTATCAGATATGGCTTCTATATATACTCTGCTGAACTCCCTCCATTGTCATCTTGCTTCCTTATCAGTCACTTTTCATTCTCCTTTTTTTTCCCACTTCAATTCCTTTCTAGAGTCCTGAAACCAGTGACTCCCCAGTAGAAGCTTACCCCACCCTTCTACTTCTTCCCCTCCATTTAATACCTCCATCATGCCTCGCTTCGAGGACTCTGACTTCGCCGTCGACCCGGCTGCCCAGGATCCCCGCGCCCAGGATCCCCATGGCGCGCTCTCTCCCCGGGAGCGTCAGGCCTCCGGTCTCACCATCCCCGCTGCAGGCGGCAACACTGTCGAGATCCCCGCCACCCGCAGCGCCATCAGTGATGCTGCTCAATTCATGCACAACCTGAGCTTGTCTCCCTCCATGAAGGACCGCCGGGGCTCGCGTAACTCCTTCGGCACTTCGCTCCCTATCCCCCGCTCCCCTCGCATGTCCCGCCTCTCATCTGTGCAGCGCGGTGCTCCTTCAGTCTCCCGGGATATCTTGGCCTCCCAGGTTCAAGATATTAACAAGGAAAAGACTGCCAAGGCCAAGAACATGGCCTTTGCTTTCGATATCGATGGTGTGCTGGCACACGGTAACCACGCCATTGAGGAGGCCAAGGTCGCCCTCAAGATGCTCAACGGCGACAACGAGCTGGGCATCCGCATCCCCCACATTCTCCTCACCAACGGTGGTGGTAAGACCGAGGAGGCTCGCTGTGCTCAGCTCTCCGAGATCCTTGAGCAGCCCATCTCTACCGATCAGTTTATCCAATCGCACACTCCCATGCAGGCCTTGGCTGAGTACTACGAGACCGTTCTGGTTCTTGGTGGTGAAGGCTTCAAGATCCGCGAAGTTGCCGAGAACTACGGTTTCAAGACCGTCGTTCACCCCAAGGATCTCCTCGCCTGGGACCCCTCTATCTCTCCCTGGGCCACTCTCACCGATGCGGAGCGCGCCGAGGCCAAGCCCCGTGACTTCTCCCAGATGAAGTTCGACGCCATCATGGTCTTCGCCGATTCTCGTGACTACCAGACCGATTTCCAGGTCATCATGGATCTCCTGCTCGCCGAGGACGGCAAGCTCATGACTAAGGCCAAGGATCCCGTCGCCACCCGCATCCCCATCTACTTCTCCCAGGGTGATCTTCTCATGCCCACCGAGCACAAGGGTCTCCCCCGTCTTACCCAGGGTGCCTTCCGTATCTCCGTTGAGGCTCAGTACAAGACTCTCACCGGTGTCGACCTTGAGCGTGTGGTCTACGGTAAGCCCGAGCGTGCTACCTACACCTACGCCGACGAGGTGTTGAAGGCCTGGATGGAGGAGCTCCACGGCGTCTCCCGTCTGCCCGAGAACGTCTACATGGTTGGTGACAACCCCGCCTCCGATATCATCGGTGGAAACATGTACGGCTGGAACACTTGCTTGGTCCGCACTGGTGTCTTCCAGGGCAAGGAGGGTGAGAACGACCCCAACAGCCCTGCCAACTTCGGTGTCTTCAACAACGTCCTCGAGGCCGTTAAGGCTGCCATCGCGAAGGAACTCGGCGCCGACTTCAAGCTCAAGTGGAACCCCAAGATTAACCCCGTCACTCACGGCGAGGGCGCCTCCGCTATTGAGTAAAAAGGATTGGTTGGTCATCCCCGATCTTTTCACGCTGAAACGAAACTCGAAAAACATGTGATACTGGGCTTGAGAAGATATTCTTCCGTGGCGTTTTTGTTTTTTTTTTTTCCATGTCATGTCATTTCATAGACTTCTTTCCTTTCCACTTTCCACCACTTGATGCACGTGGCCCTTAAATTTGGCCTTTTTGAAATTTTGGGCTCTGGGCTTTAGGACTTCTGATATCCTTTCGGTTTGGATAATCAACTTGAGAAAAGACTGAGATTTGCTTCTACTTTTTTTTTACAATATGGATGGTCGGTGGTTTCGACCCTTTCCCCCTTTTTAGACTGGATTCCTACATCTCATGTGCTTTCCGTTTTTTACACATTTCCGCAGGCAGTTATATCCCCAACATCAATACCATACCGTGCAATTTTCATCGAGAACCATTTTCGTAATTTTCTCTTTAATGTAACCTCGTATTTCAAGGTTCGATTGTTCCAGAAATTCACTAAAAAAAGCAACCTTGGAATCATTGACGACATGGTGATGGTATCATCCCCTATCACTAGGTAGAGCTCTAATACGGTAATTACCATTTTTTCCTATATATTGCACAGCTCTATCCATGGATGCGTGTGAATATACTTTCATAATTGAAATTTACACAGCATAAAAACAAGCCATTGTCAAAAACTGTATATTTACACAGCATTTATAAATTTTCCATATCAATTTTCTACATTTCCACACCTAGGCCATGTCTCGGGAAAGCCAGGAACTAGAAGAAAAGAACGAAGCAAAGAAACTCTTTCCCGTCAAGCCACAAGACATACATGGTATCTAACCGCTAGAGTGGCAAACAGCCCTACCCGGCATCTCCCAAGACACGCACGCTATGAGTCGGGTAGGTACACATTTCCAGGTCACATGTTCGACTCCGGGCTTCTAGACCACGCCCGTTTGCGCGGGTATGCATGTCCTGCCCCGGTGGCGAGGTACTGGGTCGGGATTGTTGTCTCGGGACTATTGTCTCAGGTTCTGCGTTTGCGCTGGTTGAGTCGTTATCCGGGGAAGTAGAGCAAGCTGCAGTCTAGCAACACTGTCCACCCATACATCGCACTCGTTTTGACCTTTTGATCTGCGCTCTGTCAGGATTTGGTATTGGTTTACTGTGGTCCCTATCGTTTAATAGTTATGAGCCCGGTTAGGTTCTAATTTGATCTAGCTTTTATTGGGAAGGAGGGAGTAAACACCGATGTGATTAACCCAATGACAACCAGAGAATGATAGGTCAAGCTTGGTCTACCATCAAGTTGAAACATTGAACATTGATTGTCATGATCGAAATTAAAGAACGCCAAGCAGAATAATTGGCAGAGTAAGCACCTCGAATGCTATTTGAACAAAACACTTTTTCAGATGAAGTTCAATCAGCCACAAAAACCGAGGCACGCCGAGACCCTTCGATGCACTGCCAAATGCAGCAAGTCCCATAGGGATGTTCTCTCCTCCAAGCAGCTCTACAATTGTTGATCCACGTTTCTTTGTCGAAGGAATAATTGTTTCAAATTTGCCCGGTAAAAGGCTTGCCTCTGTCAATATGAGAGTGATAGATGCCGGCAGTAGTCCGAATAACCGCAATGCAAGCATGATGATCGCTGCAAAGATCTCGACCCCGGCGCGCCTGCGTGTGGAGATTTGCAGTTCCTCGGGAGAAATCGTTGCCCCTTGCATTAGACTTTGGACCTCGCGCATCAAGGCTTGGCATATCCCGTATGTGAAATTGGGGACTGCTAAGTGTATCCATTTGCTTTGGTGTGCATCTTCCAAAGAGGAGAGTCGAGGTCGATGTGCTGAGATCGTGGCATAAGTCCATATTAAATGGAGCTTGCACAAGAGAACAGAGGAGCAGGCGTATGCAATTGGGATGAGCAATTGGTGTCTGAAAATTGCAATTACCAAGAAAGTTCTAATCGCATGATGGGTAACATGATAGACAGCAGCCAGCACAAACGCATAAGAGAATGTGTAAAGGCTCTGTGTACCGTATATGAGACGTATGGCCTGGTAGATGGACCGGAAAGTCAGAGGTCGTTTGTTTCTTCTTTCTTGATCCGAGAAAGCCCCATCCTTTCGAGCAATTTCAAGGATCAAAATTGTCGCTACTGCATGGCCAAGAAGGTAACGAATCTTGTGAGGAATCAATTAGAATCAGGTTCATCCAAGAGGGAAGAGGGTCAGATTTACTAGGCCAGAAATCAAAAGCCGGCTAGAAATGAGAGCGAAGGCAGAAAATGGGAATTCTTTTGTTACGGTCATGGGAAGAAAAATATCGTCAACTTGGCTTAGCAGATTTCCATCTCCTCCTGGGCTGATCAGAATGTTCAAGATGCGCGAGGGTAAAGTTGCAAATACGATATGACTTAGAGTGAAAACCATTCCGAATATTTGATTTGCAACGAGATTCACAGAAGATGAAGAGAGGGGCAAGTGAAACGGGAAAGAGGAAAGTGCTGGACAAGACCTTCCAATATTATACTTATAGATCTGACATCTAACTAACAATGGAAACCTTGGGATCTCTTTTTCAGGCTATTTTCGAATCTTAATCGGACAAGCTTCGCCCAAAGTCTCAAAAGCCCTGCCAAGAAAGGCTAAACATTACGATTAACATTGCTGCCTAATGTCCTATCTGCTTACATATAAGGATTTGGCCCTTGAGCCAAATCGGCTATGAAGAGAGCATCACAGCTCGAGCATACGGCGTGGCCACCGACAGCTTTTCCGAGGGAGAGGTATCACTCAATGTCACCGGCCTTACTGTAGATGAACTTCCGTACATTCAGAACGACCTGGGAATCTACCCTTTGGGACAATCTCGACACGCTCATTACCATCACCAGCCTTGCACAAGTCGCGGCAAAGAGAGGTCAGTGGGGTGACATTGTGCTGTTGTACAGTGTCTTCGAGATATATATGTAAATCCCCTATATGTACATGTATGTTTTAAGGAGATTGATTTTGAAGTACCTGTTATCTGTATGTCCTATAGAAAAGGTACCTATCGAAGGTCGGCCTAACATTTCGCAGGGGTGGTGGACAGCGCATCAGGCTGTGTACTGCCTTCCTTTTCAGGACGCCACTAGCTAACTATATAACTACATGTAGCAAACCTCATTTCTTCTTCTTCTTACACCTAGATCTTTACGCTCAACGGCCTGCTTTCAAAAGTACGTTCTTCCTTGATCTCGTTCTACTTCTCTTTCATCAATAATTTTACTGATAACCATGGGTGCCTACACGGGCTTCGACATGGTCCCACGCCTGTCAGGAGAGCTGGTAGACAAACACAATTGGGAAAGATTCTTGAACCACATCAGAGAGCGTTACCAAAACGACGATCAAGTCGAAGTGGAGCCTAACTACATTGCATTTAAGTCCGACCCAAGCCTGCTGCTTCCATTTGAATGTCGCAAGTTCCTGCGTTTTGGCGCAATGATCCCGAATGAGGACTCCGGTGGATTGAGGAACTACATCTATACTGTCAGCATGATAGCCGGTGCCTGGTTCGGATCGAGGGCTTATTACTGGGATGAGGGCTCAGGGGTACCGAGTCACTATAGCTGGGATGATGTGAAACGATCGATCAGATCCTACGAGCAGGTACAATAATTTGAAAATGCCGTGATTCACTGCCACTCTCTGACTATGAATACTCAGTTCGACGAACCGATCGTACCTACCACCGTAGCCCAACATGTGCTCGGTACCGATCCAATCAGTGAGCTCAATCTGCCACCATACGAAGTACAACTAGTGCCGGGGAAGGGACAAGGTCTCGTGGCGCGCTTCAACATTGGGAAAGGCCAATTGATTATTTCAGAGAAGCCATTATTCACAACCTCGAACGTTACAAGTGCAATCACGACGGAAAAACAAATTGCAACAGAGCTGCGAAAGCTACAGAAGGATGCTCAACGCCAGTTTCTTTCCTTGCACAACAATTTCCCTGGAAAGCAGCCGTTCAGTGGCATTGTCCGAACAAACGCCCTACCATGCGGCCCTGAATCTCGGATTGGAGGCATTTATCCTACCATCTCGCGGATCAACCACAGCTGTCTGCCTAACGCACACAACAGCTGGGATGGTGCTTCGGGACACGAAAATATCTATGCGGTTCGATTGATCGAAGCGGGAGAAGAGATCACTATCCCTTACGACCATGGGGGCCCCTCAGATGAGCGACGCCGTCATTTGAAGAAAGCATTCGGCTTCGATTGCGATTGCAGCATTTGCTCAAGACAACCCGATGAACTGCAACAGAGTGATGAACGCCGCCGTGAGATTAAACGCCTCGACTCCGAGATCGGTAATGCGCTCCGGGTGCTGCAAAGCCCCAAGGACTGCCTCAAAGACTGCCAGGCCCTGCTCCAAATTCTCGAGAAAGAGTTTGAAGGTAGTCCAGGTGCCCATCTTACAAGGCTTTACTATGATGCTTTCCAGATTAGCATCGTGCACGGCGACCAGGCGCGGGCTAGGGCTTTTGCAGAGCGGTCACATAGAGCAAGGGTGGCTGCGGAAGGGGAGAACAACCCGGAGGCGAGAAGGATTCAGAGACTGGTGGAAGATCCAACAAGACATGACAGTTTTGGATTGTCAATGAAATGGAAGAGTTTGAAGAACCAGGTGCCTCGGGGGCTAGGCTCAAATGAGTTTGAGAAGTGGTTGTGGAGTCAGGGCAAATAGATGAGTTACATCTCCAAGTGGCATTGTTCTATATGCCGAAGTGAAGAAGTTGTTGAATAGCTACAAGTGAAGAGGACTTTGAGAATACGTGATTGGAAACGGCCTTTGGTTGCGCAGAAGAGGTGTTTAGGTAGTTGATTAGTACTGGGGTGTTAGTTAGGCAATAGTTGAGCCAAAGTACTTATTTTTACTCAAAACCCTAACTACATTGACGATCCCGTAATGACAAACCCTGATACTCCCAATCTCTTCTCACAAGCACATCGCTTTATGATTTTTTTTCGCTTTCCTGGTGTTTATATCATCATGGCGGTCTAATTGTTTCCCTGGATTGTCGTTGAGCTTGGTAGTGTTCTTGCACGCGTCATCGAGCCTATTGTTTCCACGCGAGTCCGAACATGGCCTCGACAGCGACATGTCCGCCTTTGTGTATGTTTTCCTGGCAACTCGTTGCATCGCCTTCATCTCGATGCTCCGAATTTACGTGGAGCTAGCGATCCATTCTTGACCCACACGGCACCCCATAGCCCCCGCGGCCCGGATTCCAGCCCGAAATACTGCCGTGATCGAACCGAAAGCTGGATTTTCTTCGAGCAGGCCATGGTCAGCATATATTCAAGTAATTTGTGAAGACACGATAAATTCGCGAATAATATGCCATTGGTTCCACGCAATGACATTGCTTTTTTTTTTCCATTCAGTATCCACATAGGTCTCAACATTCCCACGAATGGGGTGTCAGGTAATAGGAAACGCTTTGAAAAACGTTCATCAAGGAAAGAGTAGTTTCAAAAATACTCATAATGCGATATTCGAAAAGACAAAACCAGGGGGTTGAACTCACAGTTTCCACGCAGTCAGGTCATTTGGCTATAATTTAGTAACATTCTTTGCTGAAAAGAGCTTGTTAAGGCATAGAGTGAGCACGAATATTGGGAATTAGTTCACACGAGAACCTCAAAAGTAGAGCAAGGAGAGAAGGACAAAGGAAGGAGACGAGGAGAGAAGGAAAAGGCCAAGTCTACCTCCTTGTTTAGTTGAGCAATGCGGGGAGGCCTTGGCGGCAGACGTAATTCCGCGGAAAGTACCCTCGGATCACCAGGGCTTAGCTGGCAGCGATGCCGTGCTTCGATGGTCATATTTAACATAAGAGATGTGACTCGAATGACGCCAGAAACACCCTATCAGACATTTGGATCTGGACTGGGCTACATCACTCTCAGGTTCAGCGCGAGAACTAAGCCGTACCAAGAATGCGGTGCTAGTCAGCAACCCGATCCGACTTCCAAGGTGCAACTGGGTCGTGATAAGAATGCAGGGCCGGGCCAGAAGCCGAGAGAGATTCCATTGTTTTTTGTTTTTTTCAGGAATAGCGGGGAGTATACATGGTTTAATAAGAGAAACGATAAGCTTGGCATTGACGATCATCTACATAACCGTAGATCATCTGTCTTGGCTTATAGGAGACAAGCAAAGTCGGTGAGTAAGTACGAGGAGAGTGAGATACAGCATACGGAGTACGGAGTACGGAATAGAATCACCCGAAGGTTAGACGCTAAGTCGAGCTCCATCGGAAGTCCGGGAAGTTTTGAATTGAGCATACTACTCCATACGGATCAGCCAACTCAGATCTGAAAGGGGAGTATCAGGTGATGGGGTAACTTGGGGTTATTATTAGGTAATAGCGCGTCTATCCCCGCATGATATCAAAAAAAAGGAGGCGAATGGCCAAGTCGAATGGGATGTCGTTGCATGGATGGTGAATCGTTAGGTAACGAGAACTCTGGGGTATTCAAAGCGGATGCATCGGATTAAGATCTGCTGACCTGTCACTTTTCGGGGAAAGAGTTGGCGCTAGAAGGGTTTAGATTATGTCATAGAATTGAGTATAGTTACTTGCCTCTACTAGGTATACTTTCTATCCCTTCTGCCTTATAAGGGTGTCCTATTAAATTCAATTGTACTATCTTATCTTTAAGTATCCAGGTATCTGTGTCCTAATGCGGCGAAGTGACGCCATTTTTCGCATGCATCAAAAAAGCAAATGGGGTCTGCAGGGGTAGCTTGGGAAACTAACACGAACTTAATCAGTCTAGTTGGATATAAGGAAGTATAAAGTATTAGAGTAACCTGTTTATATAAGTTTCTACCTTTACACAATTTCAATGATTACTTCAATTTTCATTTTTAGGGAAAATAAATGAAAATAACTACAGATCCGCCACCGTAATCAATCAGTTCCCCGTTGTTTTTTTAAATAAAAAAAATAAAAATAAAAAGTTCGCCCCATGTGGCCATGACCCATGGTGCTTTTTCTTACAATTTTTTGGAACTTCACCTTTTCACTTCTTTACAAAAACCTCTTGAAAGCCTGACTAGTTGAATCTTTTCAAAGTTCTAGCGAATCCCGGAAGCCGTTACCTACCAAAGTTGTGCAACGCCGGTCCGTTTCCGTGACTAACAGCTTCGCTTTTTTTTTTCCCCGCCGCCCCTCAGAGCCCTAAACTTGCCCTCGGTCTCAAAACACTTTGATTTGAGGGCTGGTTTTTTTCTTTCCTTTTTTCAAATCTGAAGCTTTCTCATTTTTAAATTTCGGTAGACTTATATTCTTTGGCTTGCTCCAAGGTACTTCTCCGACTAGTCACTGTACAATTAGGGCCCTTTATAGAGGGCCTCATCCTCTTCACCATGGCCTCCGTTACTGCCCCTTCGCAACCCAAGCCGGCCTTCCCCCGACTTTCTTCAATTCCCTGCGGTGATCACTTCCACTCACGCGAGTCGTCTCCCTCGCCTTGCAGCACCCCAGATGGGTCCAGGTCTAGCAGCCAGCGTCGCCCCTCATTCGGTTCGATCAAAGAAGATACAGAGGACGGTACGTACCGACCATGTGCGAATCCAGACTGGAGGCTGACGTGATCGGCAATATAGGAATTGCGCAATCATTTGTGGACACCCATCAAGTCCCATCTCCCCAAGAGCAAGAGCAAGAGCAAGAGCGTAAGGTCGAGCGCCCCAACCTGATGCAACAGGCCCCGGACTTCTGCTGTCCTTGTGGTGGATTCCTGGGATGGAAGCAAATTCGATTGGGCGGGAAGAGCTTGAGCCGTAGCTATAGCGATCTCCGTGGGCTCGGAAAGCTACAAGCAAAGGGTTGGGCATGGGAAGCTCAGGACCCCGAACCGCAGCTTCTCCCACCCAAGGTCCCCGAGATGGAGATTTTGCAGACCCCTCCCGGTACATCGCCTTTGGAGAAGCTGCCCCCGGAGGTTCTTGGTAAGAGATCGCACCTGCCATTCTTGTTTCTCGTGTGCTGACCTATGGGTAGATCAAATCATCTCTAACCTTGCCGTCGATCTTCCACCGAATGGATACGCCCCTCGCAACGTGGATTTGGTCTCGTGCCTGCTTACATCTCACACGTTGCACGCTGCTACCTTGGGTGTCTTGTACAGGAACATGACTTTCCCACACTCCATTATCTTCTCCAAGGCACTTAATCACATGTCGCAGTATCCGGCGTTGGGGACATTGGTGCGCCGTCTGGACTTCTCCCACTTCACCTCCGTCGGTCTGGGTCGCACAAAGCAGATGAACGCTGAAATCCAGAACCTGACATCCAAGACCCTCTTGCGGTGCTTGGAACTTCTCCCCAATTTGAAGGAATGCCTGCTGCAGGAACACCTGGAAGGCGATATTAGCGTGGAAATCATTCGGAAGCTCTTGATGGGGCTGCCAAACTTGCGCGCCGTGGATTTCTGCGGTTGCTCGACTCAGGCATTCTCCGGGGTTTTCCAGGAGGCCTTGGTCGGTGGGCCTGCGCTGCCCATGACTATGCCCAACCTGAAACGGCTCTCGCTCCACGAATGCAGCACTATCCCCGCTCCCATGTTCGACTACCTTCTCCCGCGATTGGTCAACTTGACGCACCTCGACCTTACCCACACTCAGGTTAACGATTCAGCTCTCATCGCCATCCCCGAGACTGCTCGTATCTCGCATTTGAGCTTGTCCCGATGCACGCGCCTCCGCCCATGTGCCCTAGTTCAATTCCTCACCACCCACCCGTCGGTCAACCAGTCTCTCGTTTATTTGAACCTGTTGACAGACCCGACCCGCTTCCGTCTTCTGGAAGAGACGGATGTGTCTGCTCTGCTGCCAAAGCTTCCCGGTACTATGCGTTCCCTCAACCTGGGCGGAGCGAAGATTACATCGGACCATGTACCATACTTGGTGCCCATGACCAAATACCTGGAGGAGCTGGGTCTCAGCTCTGCGGATCTCTCAGTCGCGGACGTGAACGCCTTCTTCGGTCGCTACCGTAACCCAGCCACGGGAGTCGAAATCGATGCCCCCAGCACCCTCTGCTACCTCGATCTTGCCAAGGTGCCGCAGATGACTATTGGAGCCATCTTCAACACCAGCGCTTGTTCCCTGCTCTCAAACCAAAGCTACCCCTTGCAGGTCGTTGAGTTCAGTGACAAGATTATCACACCGCTGCGTGAGCGTGCCAAGACTCAGCGCGCCTCCGTTGGCTGGACTGTGCGAGACCTCGGCCGTCGTGGCTGGTATGTTCGCGAACCATCCTCGATGCCCCACGAACCCACCGATGATGGCGCTCGCTACTGGAAGATGGGTGCGCGCTGGTGGGGCATGCGCAAGATCCCCATGGCCGTCGGTGAGGTCGGCGGCCTCTACGGCCACTACATGTTCAAAAAATGATCTACTATGAGCGTTCTGTTCTCCAAAAAAAAAGCGTTTTCGCTGGATCTTTTTATCACCTTTGCTGATACCCTTGATTTGATATCCCTCATTTTCACGGTTTGCGTTTCATTGGAGGGGCTTTACTTCTGCTTTTGTTTTATTGTTTTTGACGGTCAGGAATGATGATATCCGGTCTATGCATGGCGGCGCGCAACATGGTTTACGAATTTCGATATTCTGGCTCCTGGCTTCGGGTTCGTGCTCTCGGTCGCGTTTTGTCTTTTGGTTTTACATAGCATCTGAGATCTCTTTAGCGGTGTCTGGTCTTTTGAACTCTCTCATATTATTGGCGTTACTGTATCTATCTGGACTTTACTACTCTGCTCATTAATAGTTTCTACTCTATCTCTTCTAAGCTGTTTCGTAGACTTGACCTGGTGTAGCCTTGTGCTTTTAGCCTCACCGGGAATGTGTCTTCCCCAAACAGGAACTACCTGGCGACAAACTTACAGGTCTCGCCCTCTCTTCTCCATCACCTCTTTCTCCATCAACTCCCCCTCTCTCACACATTCTAGAATCTCCCCTTTATCCAACTCTTGCTTTCCCCACCACTGCGCTGAACTGCGCCTAGGCTTCCAGTCTTCGCCATGGCTCTATCAAGGTAAGTAGTGTTTCCCCTATCAAGCTCACCATGAAACTCCCATTAATCCAACCAAAAGGACCTTGTCAAAACTCTCAACACGCTGAGATCACACCTGAACATGAAGCATCGCAAAGACTTCGGGTTGACCTACCCCTCTCAGCCGTCCACTTCCAAGTGATGAGACACATGCTCGAGCCATATTCCCAAGACCTCCAATAGCTTTGGGTCTTCTTACATGGGTATCTGTACCGGTTCTGCCAGAGCTCGCGCACATGGACAACCTGAATGTTATTTTTGGTGCGGAATGGAGGGTATGGACATCAATTTCCTGGCTGTGATGCGACCTTCAACGGTCTTGGGTTCTACGAAAGTAGCCTCGGAGATGATAGCGTTTACGGGTGAGTGTACCATGAGTGTACGATGCTCTGGCATTTCTGTCACAACTAGCCGGATAAAGTTAGGCTTCATCTCGAGCAGAGGCGTTGGACGCAAGAGAACCACATTACATATGCACTTGCAACGGACGGTGGTCTCTTCAGGTTCTGCCACATGACCAAGGAAGGCCAGGTATGTATCCTCAGAAGTCTATTAAGCAGAGAAATGGCAACACCAAGAGAGCTATGATACTCTGAAAGAGTGAAGAGCAAACATTCGAACAAGACCTATAGGAAGTATGGGACCGTAGTAGTATATGAAATCAAAAATACCCCGTTCCTATTAGAAAGATGAATTTCTAATATCAAAACAAATCTCGACATACACTGTCCTGCTTAACTAGCTAGACGACTGCTACTTTGATTCTTCCTTCAAATATCACTAGCACCCTCATCTTCCTGTGCCCAGCATTCTATCAATATCCTGCATAGAGACAGGAGAAGGCTAGTTCTTTGATTTCAACCTTCGACGTTACACACACGGATAGGTGGCTCGGGCAGTAGCTACTAGTGTGAGCTACAGAGCCCGAGAGATCCAATGCCAGGAAGTGGATTCATAGGCTTTCGCTCTTTTTGTCGTTGTATAATAAGGCACTGCATGCGCTTATCTGCATGGGCTGTGGAATAAGGCTCGATCCTCCTAAACCGAGAGGCTCTTACTGCACATCTATACGCTTGGTCCTCGGTACAACGTGACGGGATGGGACATTCAATATTAGCTATATTTATATTTGTATTTGGGTCACGAGACATACGTCTCTAGAGATTTCAAGCAATTGAGTTAGAGAAGGATGTCCGCTAAAGCTTGCGCTATAACTATAGCTATAGCTATAGATTTCTGCTGGAGCATTGACATCTTCAGTAATTGGCAGTGTGATCAATATGCATTAGCTTCAGGGATTATCTAATATGGCACATGGCTAGGAGTTCCTAATTAGATGAGCTGATTAATGTCTGCGTCAACCAGTATCATAAATTTGTTCGACTTGGCGTAATGCAAATCATGTGTAAGATGAAAAGCCAATGCTTTTTGCTCCAACCTAGCTGTGGGACAACATGCAGTGAATGGTATTCGATATCAGTCATACAAACGTGCCATTGCAAATTTTATCATTGTACGGGCAAGGAATAGGTCATATGAGCAACATTTAGTAAGAAGACCAAATTCCAAAGGTGGATGGATATAAATACCATCATATCAACCTCTAGTCTGAAGATTCACATTCTACACAATTGATTCTCTGTCTATCGACAACAACAAGGCCACATTAATCCTTGTAAGATCTCCATCGACTATCTTCATCCACAATGGTTGACGCCGCCTGTCGCATTCCCGGAAAAGAGGAGATCTACATCTTCTCCGGCCGGCATTATGGTCGCATCAGGTTTGGCCACGGAGGCCCCGAGCATAACCTTGCTGCCGGCCCGACCCTCCTAAGCAAGGGCTGGAACACTCTGCCCAAGATGGGCTTTGGTACAGTGGACACTATCGTGCCTGTACCCGGCTACGAAAACCAACTCTACGTTTTCTTCGGAGGCCGATATGCCAAAATCAAGCTTGAAAACTACGACGATAGCTTTATCAAGGAAGGGGCGGTGTCCATTGCCTCTGGATGGAAATCGCTTGGTCAAGCGGGCTTTGACACCGTGGATGCAGCAATGCTCACCCCGGGAACAAAGAATGAGATGTACTTTTTCAACGGCTTGAACTATGTTCGTCTAGACAATAGTACCGACAAATTGGTCAATAAGGTTGCGCCCATTGCGCAGGGTTGGCCAAGTCTTGTTCAGGCTGGCTTTGATTGTGTTGATGCTATTGTTCCGAGCCCGAGTGGTCAGGATCTATACTATGTCTTCCGCGGCGATCAATTCGCGGTGATCAAAGTGGATAGCAACCAGAGGGATACCCTCATTTTACCCCCGAAGGCAATCAGCTCGGCGTGGCAGGCTTTGGAAAGATGGTGTTAGTCGGATTATTGAAACAAGTGATCCTGTCAAGCGCAAAGTAAAGAGCGGTATGTCGGGCTTAGGTTGATTCAGGTCACTTCTCGCATGTCATTTTGGGCCTTGATTTTCATTATTGATGATTAATTAGTTGAGACTGTGCTTGGACTAATGCTATGGCAACTGATAGCCCCCTGTCACAAGGTGATGGTGTGCAAATGGCCCATTATTTTTAATCCAAGTATGTATCGAAAGTAAGCCTCTTGAAGAAATCCCGTGCGATTACTTTAGCTGAGTGTAGCATTCTTCCCTTAATGATACGTCGATCAAGAGATACTATATATAAAACATACTTTCTCCATTAAATCATCTCATTTGAAGGGAATAGTAGATATACTGAAAAAGGGACGATGGTTTGGACACAAACCAACATCTCTAAGAGGGCTCTTTTCCAACAAATAGATAAAATAATAACAGATTAAACACATACTCAAGAAATATTCCAGATTATTTACATCGTTTGAACCTCACGAATGAAACTGTAGCTTCGTTCACTCAGGGCTTGGCTCCCAGGCGACGCTTGGCAAACGTCATGTGATGACTCGCAGAAGAGCCGCATTTCTCGTTATTGGTTTCACCTCTACACGCTCTGTCTATCACGAAGGTCTCAGACCATCCTCGCTAATTTCCGCCCTTGGGGAACTGCTCATCCCGATGGGTGGATTCGTTGCCGCCTTTGAAGATAGTGGAAGCGACACGCGACGATGTCACCTCCGAGCGGAGCGGCCTCTTACAAGAAGAAAGATGGAACCATAGCTATATCCGCAGATGAGAACTCAGTCTCATGGAGCCCTGCAGTGGCAGGGGCTGGGAACACGATCACAATCCCCGTGGTCAATATCACTAGTATGTCGTCACTCCATGGCCGTGAATTTGTCTCTTTGCTGACTCGTGCGACTGCTAGATTTACAGCAGACCCCAGCCTCGAATCCGAAAGTGATGCTCAAAATATTTTCCCAAGCCCCCGATGCGCCTCCGAATAGTACCCCCGATCAGTATGTCTTCCTGTTCACGGCCGGACCAGACGCCCGCCCACAGGCCGATCTCATCAAAGACACATTGAGTGCCCGGGTCAATGCGGCAAAATCGGGCACACCATCCCGGACACCGGGCTCTAGAGGTGCATCTGAGGGTCAATCAGCGGCAATGGCGATTGCAAACGCTGTGACATCCGCCGCGACATCGAAGAATCCCTTGGACGAGGAGAATAGGCTTCGGTCCGACATAGAACTGCAGCAGTCGCTATTAAGATCTGATTCGAATCTGCAGCGAATGTTCTTCGAGGGATTGCATACAAAACCGGAAGCCTTGTCATCTGCGTCGTTTGTATCACAGTTCTGGTCAACACGACTGCATTTACTGCGAGCACATGCAATCGAACAGGGCCAAATCCGTGGCTCATATAATGTGCTATCCTCACTCAAGCCTCGAGTTGAGGATAACGTGACACGATTGAACATCAGCAAAGAGCAGATCCAACTCATCTTCACACAGCACCCACTGGTCAAACGCGTGTATGACGAGAATGTGCCGAAGCTCAGCGAGCAACAATTCTGGTCACGATTTTTCCAGAGTCGGCTGTTCAAAAAGCTGCGCGGAGAGCGGATTACAGAGGCCGACGCAACCGATGCCGTGCTGGACAAATACATCCGAACGGATGAGGCCGCTCAGCCGAACCGCGACACAAATATTCATCACTTTTTGGATCTTGCTGCCAATGAAGAAGACAACAGCCAGCGTGGCGGAAACCGACCTGACCTAGACATGAGACCATCTGGCGTCGACAAAGTACCCATTATCCGGACACTGAACAGCCTGAGTGAAAAGATCATGGCCAATGTGGCCCCGGCTGACGGTGATATGAACGCCCCTATCGGTATCAATGAAGAGGCATGGAAAAAGCTCCAGTTGCATGATCTTCGTGGAGAAGAAGAGCAAAGTCGCATCACCTTGAATATTCGTGATCAAAGTCGGTTCTTCACTCATGGCCAGGAGGAGGATAAGACAAAGCAAATTGCGAAGCAAGACCCGGATGAGCTTCTTCGGATTCTCCGTGCGGAGATCAATCAAAGTCTCCCGTCGCAGGGTAATACACAACTGGGCATGTTGGTGGACCCTGGCGATGATGAAGACGAGGAGATGGAGGATGCACCAGCTAACCGTCGACCTGTCGGCTCATCTGCCGCTCTACATGATGCATTTTCTCAAATATTGGAAGCATTGCGCGAGCGCCGTGCTCATATGACTGAACGAGCAGCATCAGAAACATATGGGCTATCCACAGCGCTATTTGACCGCTTGACATTGACACACGCCACAACCACGGAGTTTTTGCACCAGTTCTGGCAGGCGTTTCTCTCCGGCAACCCCGACCGCGCTGGAGAGGTTGCGTCCTTAGCAGAGTCTCTTCAGCGAGCAGCAGAGCGCATTAAGGCTGTTGCTAATGACGCAGAGGCCGAGCGGAAAGTCGAAGTTGACCGGATAAAGAAGCAGGCCCGTGACATGTACGAGAGCACCGGGCGAAGATTACGAGTTAACTTAGAAGGTGTGGAGGGAGGCCAGAATGCTGTGAATCAACTTCTAGGTCCTACACTCCATGCACTGGAGGCCGCATCGACTCGATACCAAAAAGAATTGGCTGAACAAAATAAAGAAGCGGCTCTTGCTGGTTAAGAGATGAGAGATAGAAGGAAATAACTCGGGCGTTTGATATTGAACATGGCATGTACATTATGATACCTTAAGAGAGCTTTGATTCGTACAGTGAATAAAAATCTCGATATCTCATTAATCTACCTGCAAAACCACTGATTGTAGAGATTAAACAACATTGAAGGTCGGCATGCCGAGCTTCCCCGGACTTCGGGAATTTAGTGCCATCTGTCCCCTCCACTACGCTGAACTTTCTCCAACTCACCTTCTCCCACAACTTGGATCATTCCCAAGCCAGATACTCAACGAGAAACACAAGGGGCCTCAAGATGCTCACTTCCGGCCTCACAAATGCGCCCCTCACCAAAGCACTTCTAATCTACACGATCGCCTCGTCGATCGCCCTCTCCCTTTTCGACATAAAGCACCTCGTCGTGATCTATGTATCGCCTCATTTTTGGCCCTATGCCCAGTTCTGGCGTGCATTGGTGTGGCAGGTCGTTGGCTTCACCAATTCCACCGAGGCCCTCTTCGCTGCGATGCTGGTATACCATATGCGCGTTGTCGAGCGCGCGTGGGGGAAACGGAAGATAGCGGTTAGTCCTATTTGTCGTATTGTCTTTGTTCCTACAGATATGCATACCCATGTGTGTCATTAAGGAGTAGAAAAGCCGAAGACTGTCATCCATGACCTGGAAACTGATTGCTGACATCGTGATACTGCTTGCTCTAGACATTCCTACTCACCACACTACCCTACACGACTCTCCTCCCGCCAATTCTCCTTGCCCTCCTAATCCGCCCTCTCTCCCTAAACAACTTCAATTACCTTCCCTCCGGCCCAACAGCAACCATCTTCGCCCTCTTGGCGCAGTACCACGCCACTATCCCATACACCTACCGCTACCGCATCGGATCCACGTCCTCCCCCACTACAACAAACAATACCGGCAACAATACCAACAATGATCCCTCCGCCGATAATAATACACCGGCAACCCAGCCCAAGCCCCCCAACACCAACCCTATCCCTCCTTCTCTCCGACAAAACAACTACCTACATCGTCGCTGCCCAGCTAGCCCTCTCCCAGTTCCCCGCAATGCTCTTACCATCAGCCCTGGGCTGGATCGTCGGTGTAGCCTGGCGCGCAGAGCTGCTACCGGGTCTGTCACCGGCGAGCACCGGGTTCCGGGTTCCGGCTTGGGTGGTTGGCGAGCAAGAACGGAGGGGTGGTTCTGACTCCGGATCTGGGTCTGGTGGTGCGGAGGGGGAAAGGTATGAGGATCTCCGACGGAGGTTGGAGGGTGAAGTTGCTGCTTCGGCTTCTGGGTTGGAGGGGTCTGGTGGGCAGGCTCAGAGGCGCGCGAATAATGCCGGGGAGGTTGGTGGCGGGTTTGTTAATCGATTGACAGGTGATTGGTAAAGATCATCTGTTCTTTGTTTGAGTTATGCAAGGCTGGTTGAACATGTCTATCTGGTATAGATCTACTAAGGACAGTTGGGACGGATTCTTGGGTTAATAGGAGGCGCTATTAGACATAGCCCGTCTCATACCTTCATCCTCGATCAATTCATATGGTGTCCCCACGTTTGCAACTTATGGCCTCCAATTCGTACTTAGAGTGAACAATACTACAATACTCGATGATCAAAGAACGAGGTGGGTACTAAATCGAAAAGGCAGACAATATCTGCAAAAGCATAATCTAGAATATCAACTAGCAAGGGCGTATTTCCGCTAGAGTGTGCCGACTGAAAACACCACATAACGCCATATCATCAATGTCTATAATCTTGAATGGGACATTGTTACCGCCCATTGCGACTCCGTCTCATATTTTCCTTGCACTCGTTACAATACCATTTAACTAATAGAGACAGTTAGCAACCTAGACAATTTCAACAAGGCAAAGAATACTCTTACCATTCTTTCCAGGCGGTTTCGTCAAACCCACACACGATAGATGGAACCATTCACGCGGACAGGCATCATTGTCACAAGCAACCATCTCGCCGAAACTGATTTCGTTACAGTAACAGTAGCGTGGCTCGCCCTCCTCGTCTTCATCATCGCCCTCGTGAAGCGACTCGTCGTCAGAGGGTATTGCAGGCTGTGGGATGGGCTTCTTCTGAGTTCGTTTGGTAGAGGCCGGGTCTTGACTTCGTGTGGGCCGGGCGCGGGGTTGGCTGGGCTCTGTGAATGCGGGGAGGATAGGGGTCGATGTCTTGGAATTTCGTCCCTTGGTCGTCTCGACCTCGGTAGAACCGGCTTTTCCATCCACATCCTCGCGCTTGGACCCGGCGGGAACGGATGTTCGACCGTTGGCATCGCCTTCATAGTCACGGTGTGTGTCTGCATGGATGAGTTCATTCTTGGCGGGTCCGTCCCGGGGTATAGATCTGGTATCGGCAATTTTGTCTGCGTAGGGAATGTGGTTAATTAGTGGTTCCGGGAGGAGTGGTTGAAACGGCATACTGTTGTTTGGGCGGTTTGAAGCGGATGATGTTGGCCGCGCGCGCGAGTTGGTTGTAGGTCCGGAATTTTGGGCTCGTGAAGATTGTGGTCTTGATGTGTGGGGTCCTGGGCTGGCAGCACCACGCGGGCCATTGAATGTTCCAATCAAGGGCGACGGGGCCAGAACGGGCGATGCAGCATTGGAAGCGTTGGCCCTAAAACAAAGTCAGTTGGATGTAGTAGTGAGCGCAGGCGAAATGAGACATACTTCTTGCGTGCAGCAGCAGCTTGATTTGGAGCGCGAGACCGCTTCTTCTCTGCTGGGTCTTTATTCGCAGCTCTCTGGCTCCCAGCACCGCTAGCAGAGCGTTCCATCGGAACACTAGTGTCTACCGGTAGTGGTCGTTCCACCTTGCGACGCTTGGGTGCACTCGGGTCAGCCGCGTGGTCTCCACCTCGAGATTTCCCACTATTGGTCTTGCGGGCGCCCGAGCTGCGCGTATCCTCGTAATCTGCGTCGGCCTGTGCCCGACGTTGCTTGCGTGCCAGAACAGCATCGCGCCGCGCCTCACTGCGACTGGCAGCTTCGGCCTCTTGAAGGACGTGCGATAGATCCTGTCTTTGCGCTACTGCTTCCCGGCGCGGGCGTTCATTGGTCGCAGCCTTCGCGGTACTCTTGTTAGAGTACGCCCAGTGTGTCAGACTGCCTAGTCGAGCCTCCTCGCTGATCTCTCCTGCAATGTATGGGAACACCGTATCCAGCCGGACAACTTGGCGATCTAATTCCTCGTTCGCGTTCGAAATGACGTGGTTCTTCTCATCGGCGGTCATCATCAGGTCCGAGAGGCTTTGGCGTACACGATCGAAGAGAAGCCGGCGGCTTTTGCTATCGGGCAGTTCCGGCGATTGAGATATATCCTAGCGCAAGAGAGACGCTATCAGTAAACGCTCAGAGTACCCCATTAGACAGATCGTGGAGAAAACTCACCTTGGGCAAAACATCCTCCCGAATCACACCCCCGACGATAGGCGCCGGGTTGGGAGGATGAGGAACGGGCTGCGATTGGGAGGAGAACTGGAGTAACTGCAGCAAATTTTCCTCGAGAGCCCACGCCTTCGCATCAACTTCCTTGAGAAGCGAATTGTGGCGACGGAACTCGCGCGGAAGTGCTGTTATAGCATCGGTGAAATGCGTGAGCGCAGGATAGAAGCCGTGAGGAACAGGGGATGTGGAAGGAATTTCATTTGTCGAGCCTTGGCCGAACGCGAAGGATGACCGTCCGATGATTTTGGAGGTTCGAGACGGGTTTGTACGTGTCTGACGGGCGGACTGTCGGATTCCTTGGCCCGGGGGATTATTGACTGACGATGAGACAGCAGACATGTTGAAGGGCAGAGTCGGGACTGGGAGCTGCGCCGTTGGAGGAGGGTTGAGGTGAGCCTACCTCAGTTTGAGGAGGAAATAGTAAGTTTTGAAGAATCAATGGTATTCGGCAATGATCAGGGAACATGTACAATAGTCAACACCTCGCGTAACAACAGGAGGACATCGATGCAGGAGAAGCTGCTGCTGGGAAGTTTGAGTGCGGAGAAGAGCAATCAAGTCAGGTGAGATTGTTGCCTGCGGCACTGATCAGGCATCAGTTGCTGAATCATCCGAGCACGCGGGTGATGTCATATCAAGCATGCCCAGAATTAACACAGTTGATATGAGCTATAGGGATTTTAAAAGGCATACACAGAAAAGAAAAAGCAGGAATCTTGGAAAGTCAATGATTCTTTGTATTTTACATATAGCATGGATTCTAGGTATAGACGGGGACCTTACATTAGGACAACCAAAAGACTGTCCTAGCATAGCCTATGACTGTAAACCTAGGGACACATCGATAACACACGAAGGAAACCAGTAAAATAAAACAGGTAGTACAACAAGGAAATACACGCTAGGTTCTAGGAAGACCAATGAATATACGACACTCGACTTGATGCAAGTGTCAGTGCAAGATCCCAAGTATCTTCATCAACAGAAGTCGAGCCAAATCAATAGGAAGGCGTTTACTCGCCCTTCAGGTGATCCTGGTGAACGGAGAAAGCATCCTCCAGAAGCTCCTGCTCCTCCTTGAGGTGGACGGCCTTGAGACCAGTAGCAACGGAAGCGCTACCAGCGCGACCAGCGTACAGGACATGGCGACGGTTGTGGTGCTCGGTAGCGTTCAGCAGACTCTCGATACGGGGTTGGGCGTAGGACCAGGCACCGGCGTTGAGAGGCTCCTCCTGGGCCCAGACGATGTCCTTAGCGTTGGGGTAGCTGTCCAGGTTCTCCTTCAGCTGGGCCCAAGGGAAGGGGTGCAGCTGCTCAATACGGGTGATAGCAGTGTTGCGGATACCGTTGGCCTCGCGGTGCTTGAGCAAGGCAGCGTAGACCTGTCCAGAGCACAGGATAACACGCTCGATCTTCTCGGGAGCGTCGATGGCGGTGCCGTGACCCTCATCGGGGATGATCCACTGGAAGTGGGACTCGCCATTTAGGGCCTCAATGTCAGAGCGGGCAAGGGGGTGACGCAGCAGAGACTTGGAGAAGAAGATGACCAGGGGCTTGCGGAACTGGCGGTGGATCTGGCGACGGAGGATGTGGAACAGGTTGGCAGGAGTGGTCATGCAGGCAATCTGCATGTTGCAGTCCTGGTGCTGACGGTCCAGCTTGTCAGCCGAGGGGAACACACGGGGCTCCTCGTTGCAAAGCTGGAGCCAACGCTCCATACGTCCGGAAGAGTGTTCAGGACCCTGGCCGTCATAACCGTGAGGCAGAGACACAACCAGACCGGAACGCTGCAGCCACTTCGATTCACCGGAGGCGATGAACTGATCAATGATACACTGAGCGTTGTTGGCGAAGTCACCGAACTGGGCCTCCCACATGACAAGGGCGTTGGGGGAGGTCAGAGAGTAACCGTACTCGAAGCCGAGACTAGATTGTATGTTAGAGTCGTTGTTACGCGGGGAGTTCTGTCAATTCAAGAACTTACCAACCAAACTCGCTCAGGGAGGAGTTGGAGATGACGAAGCTGCCCTGCTTGTCACTGATGTGCTTCAGGGGAGTGTAAGTGCGCTCAGTCTGCTGGTCGTGCAGGACGGCGTGGCGCTGAGAGAAGGTACCACGCTCAACATCCTGACCGGAAACACGGACATGGTAACCCTCGTCAACGAGCGAACCGAAAGCGAGAGCCTCAGCGGTGGCCCAATCGATGTTCTTGCCCTCATCAACAGCCTTCTTGCGTCCGCTCAAGATACGCTTAAGGTTGCGGTGGAGCTCGAAGCCCTCAGGAACACCGGTACCGGCGATCTTGTCAGCAATGTGCTTCAGGGACTTGTCACCAACAGCAGTGGGCAGGTGAGGCAAGACCTCGTTGGCTAGCTCCTTGGGAGACTTGAAGTTGTTCCAGGCAGAAGTCAGCCACTCCTTGCCGGTGGGCTGGTAGTCCTTGCTGCGGTCGAAGCTGTCGCCGAGCATTCCCCAGACCCACTTCTTGTGCTCATCAATGTCCTCCTTAGTGAAGGTACCCTCAGCAATCAGCTTCTCGACGTACTTGTCGAGCTGAGCCTTCTGCTCAGCGATGCGCTTGTACATCAGGGGCTGGGTGAACGAAGGCTGATCAGTCTCGTTGTGACCCTGCTTACGGTAGCAGACCATGTCGATGACAACGTCGCGCTTGAACTCGGCACGCCAGTCAGCAGCGATCTGACAGACATAGTTGACAGCCTCAACATCGTCAGCGTTCACGTGGAAGACAGGAGCGTCGATGGACTTGGCAATGTCGGAACAGTAGGGAGTGGACCGGGAGTAACGGGGATCAGTGGTGAAACCAATCTGGTTGTTCACGACAAGGTGGATGGTACCACCGGTCGAGTAGGCCGGAAGGGAGTGGAATCCCATTGTCTCGTAGACAACACCCTGGCCAGCAAAGGCAGCGTCACCGTGAAGCAGAACACCCATAGCGGTGTCGTAGTTGGTCTCGTCTTTGTTGTAGTGCTGGATGGCACGAGTCTTTCCAAGGACAACGGGGTCCTCGGCCTCGAGGTGAGAGGGGTTGGCAACCAGAGACAGCTGCACACGCTTACCGGAGGGAGTAGGACGCTCGAAGTTCATACCCAAGTGGTACTTGACATCGCCGGAGCCCTCATCGGAAGGCTCGGTAGAACCCGCAAACTCACTGAAGATGGACTCATTGGGCTTGCGGACAACGTTGGACAGAACGTTAAGACGACCACGATGAGGCATACCGATGACGATGTCCTTGATGCCGTAGTCGACACTACGATCGATCAGGGCCTTCATACCGGGGACCAGGGTCTCGCAACCCTCCAAACCGAAGCGCTTGTCGTTGGGGAACTTGGTAGCGAGGAAGGACTCAAAGCTGGAAGACCAGATGAGACGGTCAAGGATGCGGCGCTTGTCGTCAACCGAGTAGTTGTAAGGTTGAGGGATCTCGAAGCGATCACGGATCCACTCGCAGGGCTTGCGGTCGGGAATGTGAATGTACTCAACACCGTAAGAGCCGCAGTAGATCTTCTCGCAAGTGGCGATGATCTCGCGCAGAGTCATCTTCTTGCGGGTCTCGGTGATGAAACGGGGCAAGATACCGGGTCCAAGGGCAAACTCCTGGCTCAAGTCACTCTCGGTGAAACCGTAGTGGTCCAACTCGAGCTCCTTGGGTTTGTCGTAGCCAAAGGCCTCGGCCTCTCCGCGAATGCCGAGAGGGTCGATCTTGGCCTTGTGGTGACCACGGGCCTGGTAGGCGCGGCAGAGCAACTGAACCTTCAAGTGGTTCGTCACGTCAGCACCACCGGCAAGTCCCTGGCCGGGCATATCTTGGGGGACACCACCGGTAGGGGTGGGGACGAGGGTAGGGGGAGGAGTGAAGGCCTGGGAGATAGGCATTTTGCCCTCCTCCATGTTCTTGAAGTAAGTCTGCCATGAGATGTGAACACTCGAGGGATCCTGCTTCCATGCCATGTACATCTCATCGATGTAGTTGGCAGTGCTACCAGTAAGGAAAGAATCGTTGGGGTCCTGTCCACATAAGGGCGAGATCGCGCCGTCGCATTAGTCGAATGTCCGTTTGTTTGTTTCAATTATCGGGAACCCGGATCGGATCGCTAACGATCATGGGATATTGTTGTTGCTTACCACTCCTTGAATTTGGCCCTCCGCGGGGGTCGCGTAGGACCGGGCACCGTTGAAAGCACGGTCGACAACAGCAAGAGGCCGACGAGCGGTCATGTTGAAGCCGGAGCTTTTTGAAGCGCTGCGAGCACTCGTGGCGAGGTGGAATGAGCGCCGGCATGATGAAGAGGTCGCACCACGCAGCATGCCGCTGTTGGTGGCCTTCAAGGCAGTGTTTCTAAACATTGCGGGATTTTTCTTGGATCAAGGTCTAATAAAGTTTTCGATTTAGAGGAAAGGGGAAACGGAAGACAACAGTTCTGGATTGCTGGCCAAATCAGACGTCAAATAGTCAGATTCACTGCATGCTATAGTGTCAGCCTGATATTGCCAGGTTGTTCTGCAGCACGCAAACCGGAAATACGGAGGAAAGGAATGGGCGTAAGTACACGTACGAATTAAAATCACAGAACAGGTGTCTCGACTAGTATTGCCGTAGCACCTGTATAGAATCGGGACTCATCAGAGAGCTAAAACGCTCTAGTGAAAACAAAGTGTGGAGAGTTGGGAAAATGAAGCGAAAGAAGAGCGCGAAAGGAACCTTGGAAGAGCTGCCGAGAATGACGGGTCTCACGGCAGTGAGGCTGGTGCGCTGACTCAGCCCGACTTACAACCGATGCCCGGGGACAGAAACGCCCCAATCAGCCACTTCGCTCCGCAGGCCGGCTAAGCGCTCGGCCTCTACCACGGGAGTTTTCGGCCCAATGGGACCAAAAGGGATTACTATTAATCATGGATATCTCTAACTAGTGTTTTTTTAGATGAGATGTGTATATTGAAATTCAAGATTTCCATCAGATTACAATCTGTATTAATATTAACATCTAAAGCTATAGAACATTCGATAATTCATGAAATCGTGACAATGCGAAAAATCACCGCACAAAAGGGCATATGCAATATGCAAAGACATAATAGATCATTATATCCAGACAGGGAAATTGGACACCATATTACAAGACATTGAGTCGCTGAGGTCCGCTGGTGGGAATTTCCTCAGAATCTGGCCGGCCCGACAACGCCGAAGCAGTACGTAGGTAGCTGTCCTCATGGGAATAGCCGACACTATTCGAAGCTCCCTCACCAGCAGTGAAAGGTCTCGCTTCAGAGACTGTTGGGCTTGATTCGGCACCATTCAAGCTTGCACGGTGAGAGGGTGAAATCGTATGTGGTGGTGGACTGCCTGCACTGCTGCGCAAGCTACCGTTGCTCCCACCCCAGGCTCCCCGGCGTAGCTTCATGAGTGCGCTTAGTGACATTTCATCGTCGAGATTGCCCATGTCAACCAGCTGCGCCAGCCCAGGGCTCGCTAGAGCTGAGTTTGGATGGGTACCGCCGTGAGCCTTGACCGAGATCATGGAGTTGCGTGTGCTCCATTCACTTCGTTCAGTAATAGGGGTCAAGCTGGGCTCCTGAAATTTGCCGCGACTGCTGTGGTTCCGTGTGATACCTTCGACCCGTCGCGGACCAAAGTATCCACCGTTGGTTAGCTCAGAAGCGCCGTTGCCATCTGCCTGTGCGTAGAAGCCGAACTCTTGGCCGTAGAAGCCGTCGTCATCATTCTCAAGAGCCTCGGCGTTAGCAGCAGCAACGATTGCATCGTCGAAGTACGAACCATCGTAATCATCGTAGAAGTGATCATCGTAGACGTCTTCGAAGGCCATGACATCCGCAGTTTGGCTGATCCGGCTATCATCAGAAACCAGACCTGGTTGCGAGTCTATCGTCTGCGATGTTTGAGCTGCACTGTCTTGCCCCTGAGATGCTTCGCTCATGCTGAACTTGCGCTCAAAGCGCCCACCATATGATGCTTCGTTGGCTGCAAAAGCGAGAGCATTGTGCAAGATATCTAAATTTTGCTCTGTAAGCACACCACCATGGGCACGGGCAGGGCCCATATTTGGTATTGGCTCGCCGAGGGGACCACGCTTGACTGATCCTGTGACCCGATAGTCACTGGCCACACTAGGCATGTGCTGCAGTCCTTGGACTCCCTTCTCTGCCATGGGGCTTTCTTTCCCTGCCGAAGAGTCATCCCCGTCAGGGACCGCACTGTCCGTTGGTAAGGGTGCTGCAGAGGCATTGGCTGGTTTTCGTTCGTATAGATGGCTGTTTACATCATCAAATATAGATTCATCAAATCCACCATCTTGGTTGTCGACAGCAAGATCTCCGAAATCGCCGTCGTCGAAATAAAGATCATCATCATCGTCGAGGATTTGGGCAGCTTGTTTCGTAGCCGGAGCCTGGGGAAGGGTTGACATCTCATCAGTTCTGGCACCTAGGGAAAGTGGTTCCCCTGGCACTTGTTGATCGAGGTCATCGTTTAGTTGTGTGGTCTCAGAGAGATGAGATGTAAAGTGAGAGGTGTTTGTAGGGGCTGGTGGTGCAGCAGTAATCGGGTTACCAACAACGGGTGACAATCTTGGGATAGACCAGGACTTGGCCTCGTTGATATCTCGTGAAACGGAGAAGTCACCAAAATCATCATCATCGGCGTCTGCATTGACACCGGGAATCTTTTCTTCCAGACCGTCCAGGTCGTCCATCATGTCATCATCGAAATCCTCGTCGAAGTCATCAAAATACCCATCCTCCATTCTGCGAGACGCTTCCTTGGCCTTATGCTTCTCTTCTAACATTCTCTCTTGCGAAGATGAGTCTACTCCGCTCATATCGAAGCTGAATCGAGAGGCATTGCTCTTGAGATGTCTCGGCCTTGCCGAGGGATTGAAAGGCACATTGGGAATAGTATCTTGGTCTTGAGGGTGCTGAGGGTGAGCATGGGTAATTGCTTTGGGTGGGCTTGGGGGAGGTTCCTCTGCCTTGGATTCAAGCTGCTGTGAAAGATCAGTTCCATCTGGTATATGGGATGGCAAGTTCCGTGCAAAGACAGGCAACGAGCAGTCAGGACCAGGCTGTGATTGGCCTGTTAATAGTGAAGACTGAAGATAACCCTTGTTCTCCACCTGTAAAACATTCTGGTCCTCAAAATGTTCCTTGAAAACAGGCGAATGGTCACTGTGCCGTTTTGCCTGGTCACTCCAGTGGGCGACACGAGGTTGACTGGGTATTTGTGGTGGTGAAGTATCCTGCCCATTCACCAGTGCATCCTGCTGGGTAGCCGAAAGATTGCGGCGAGGCCGAGGCGCCGAGAAGTCATGGACAATCTTTCCACGAATTCTGGGATCATAGTCATCTGGCATAGCAGGAACATTCCGGTTCTTGATTTTGACATCCTCTGCCCGAGAGCTAACCATCTGCGAGGAGCGCCTACGCGCAAGGAGAGACATCGGATTCAAGAGATGGAGCATCGCCTTGCCCGATTTGTGATGTGTCTGTTCTACGGACACATCACGATCTCCGGTGCGCCGGACAGTTGTGCTAGCATCCATCTTGAAATCCTTTTGCAGCATTGTTTGTTTATCCGCCGGCGAATCATCCGTTGAGGTTCTGAACCGGAAATGACCTGACCCTGCTGCCGCAGTTGGTGATCGTTTCTGCTTGCCAAACGAACGTCGAAAGGGCGAGCTTGGTTTAGAGTTCGATTCTGCGTCTGCTTGGTCAGACCGTAGACCGGTCACAGACAGTTGAGAATTATTCGACTGGGACGTAAATTGTTCTTCCCCGCAGTCGCCAGGGCTAGAATGAGGACGACTTTCTTTTTCGAATGCCGGTGACGGGACTCCAAGAGTGAGCGAGGAGGATAGCGGCGCGACCGATGAGCTAATGTTGAGCTTGGAAGTATCGATGTCGAGCGGCGACTCATTCGAGGAGGGGCCATCGGGTGAGGGGCGACCGTCGAAGGTAGTGGTGAGCGTAGGGGTATCCGGGATCTCTGGGAGCTGGGGAGGGCTGCTATTCGGGCTTCCATTCGCGCCTTTGACGGGTAAGGGCGCGGGGATTGACGCAGGCGATGCGGACCAACGCCGATGGTCTCGGCGCCAGTACGAGAAGACGGTAGACGGTGGCATGACAGTTATGGGCTCTCACAACCCCAAGTTGAGTCACGAGAATTAACAAGGGGCGTAATGGTCCATTGCAGTCAACTGCATGTGTCAAACAAAGATGTCATATACAGACTCTGGACCGTGGGGGATGCAGAATCCACCCGTGGACCTCTTGAGCCTCGAGCTTTTGTCAGCCTATTAAACTCGATTTGACGAGAAGAAGGGGTAATCCACAAGCAGTAAATTTCAAGAGGTATCGATCTTTCTATTTATATATAAAATGAGATCAAAACGCGCGGCTAAAAGTTAGGTTACACCCATCTAGCCCTTCTGTGGTGTCTGGGCCTGTCTACAATATCGCGTCACATTCTTGCCCCTACTTGCTTCATTTATTGTATTTTCTCGCGATAGATCAAATCCCCGAAAATGCTTTAACTCCTCTAATCGTACAGCTATGCTACATGGATATCCTTCGAGAAAAGTATAAATCAAAGAATGAAACGCTCAAAATGACCATATGCTATGCTAATAAAACATAAAGCAAAAATTAATTGATGACGCCTTCAGCGAATGCTTTGCCTCCAGCGATCGATCACGTTCGGGTCGGTTTGGACCGGGGCAGGATGTTGTGTTATATTGGAAGTATATCCCATGCCATTCATTCCCATCGTCGCAGGGTTCATAGGATACCCATATTGCTGTGCCATCGGGTATGCTGCAAGGGTCGGATATCCCCTTTGTGGTGAAAATTGTTGCATGGACATGCGGTTTCCATACTGGGACATGGTGACAGGCCGCTGATTGAAAACATCATACGACGACTGGCGAGCAAGCTGGGCAGGACGACCCTGTGTAAGCGCAGCCATGCTCCGGCGCATTCGCGGGTTCTTTGCGGGCCCGAGTTGGGCAGCAGCCTCTTTCTGAAGGCGACTACGTCGTTGTGCGAGTGTCTCTTCCTCGCTGGGGCCGGGCACTTCTTGGGCGTCTTTGGGCGCAACTCCAGCCCTAGTGTCAATTTCGGCCATCAAGTCGCTGGCGAATTTGCTCTCCGAGCGGTTATGTCCCTTCAACCGTTGAAGTCGCTCGGCGAGGGTTTCTATCTCTGTCTCACTCTCACTCTCAGCGGCCGGCTCAGGAACATGCGCCGGAGGCTCTGCTGCATACACTGTAGCAGGACGCTTCTCCGGCTGCGGTACTGGTTCACCGCGCAGCCTAGCACGGCGTGAGCTCAAAGGCTCATTTTCTTCTTGTTGCCGCTTCTCGATCAGCCCTAAAGGTCGGTCGTCGTCTTCGACATTGGCTTTCTCGGGGTACAACATGGCCAGGGGAACGTCTTCGTCTTCGTCCCGCCCTTCCCAAGCCAAAGCAACGGGGCGCTGCCGCCGTTTGTCACTTTGCTTTTGGGCCATTTCGTCCATTTCTAACAAAGTGGTCCGCATGCCGTGGAAAGCTACAGGCACCACCGTCCGGCGTCGGTGCTTCAATTCATGCTTCCGCAACTCCAATTCGGCGATAAGCGTGTTTGGTGGACCAACATAATCCAATTCTTCCTCGTCCTCGTCCTCTTCATCTTCGGATTGCTCATCACTTTCGGTATCAGTGCCTTCCGACCCTCGCTCATGGACGTGCTCATCATGGTTTCTATACGAGTCATTCCCGGCTTCCGATCCATGTGGCGAAGTGACAGGGTCTCCATACTCGTCTACATTATTAGTGCTATAAGGCTGGCCAATCGTGGCTCGCGAAAGACGGTTTGTCTTTTGCCCTGCCATATCTTTTGTCAGGGTCTTGCGTTTTGATTTGTTGTAGATGAACGCGCCGATATGACCAGCATAAGGGTGATCAGTGAAAGCCGAAACAGGTGCATTCGCAGAGGCATCCAAAATGCTCTCCAGCGTAGCAACCGCAGAATCTTGCTTAACCTCGACCTGGAGTGATGTACCCGGCTGATCAAAAAACACACTCGCACGGAGATGCGGTGGTAGTTTCGATTTGCGTTTATCACCATGGCCATCGCGTGGGTCTTTTTGATCGCCGTCAGGCAGCATAACGGTTGACTTTCTATCATCAGCGGTGATGGCGCCTGCAATGCGTGTGCGACGCTTATCCCGGTCGATGTTTTCCTTGCGCGACAACTTCGGTGGCAGATTCAACATGCGTGGGACAGGGGCTGGATAGAACACCATATTCTCTCCTGCTTGCGGGTGTTTATAATGTTCCGGCTTGCGGGCGAGCGGCGGCTGCTCCAAAGAAACCTGACGACCCGGTTCCATGGGTGTGAAATGGACGCCATCAAAATCGGTGAATAGTGTCCGCGCCTGCTGGGAGGTATCGTTCGATGCGACCGAGGCTCGCCGCTCTAACTCCGCTTCTACGGGAACTCCTTGTGGGACATATTGGTCGTAATAGTAATCGCTCTGGGTATTGAAAAGGGGTTGTGGCGGTGGTAGATCAGGGAGCCCGGGAAATTCGTCCACTTCATGCTTATGTTCATCATGTGCAGGCTCCGAGAGCTGAGCCAGACGCACCCCTGAAACGGAGCGCTGACGCGCGGGGGACACATTCGATCCATGGGCGGAGGAAATCGTACGTGCTGGGGAGAATGCACCATTCCGGTGAATGATTGAATTGGACGCCGAACTGACTGAGCGTTGCTTTTGCTCTTGGTCGATGCGGCGGATCTCGCTCTCAATATCTGCGGAGCAAGAGCTCAGTTGCTCTGCACTTTCTTCCAACCGCGTCACATTTCCTTTGTAGGCTCCTTGTATCGACTGCAAATCCGGAGTAGGGTGGCTGAGGGGTACGGGAGCCTCACTGCATGCGCTGTGGAGAGGGGGATCGGGAGAAGGATGTTGCGGGACGGTTGTATTGAGTGGTAGAATGCGGAGGCTGTTGGATCGCTCGGGGGGAGGATCGGCGTCATAGTCATCGTCCTCCACCACATCGTAGCTGGTAGAAGTCATGGAGCGGATCATGGAACCTAACTGACCGAAACTGGGATTGTCTGTAGTTTTAGCAACCTCTAGGTGGCTCCCTCCCCCGATGTGATCAGTATCAAGTGGCAGCTGCTCAAATGCATGTCCGTGAGCGGGCGATGGGCTGCGTGATGCAGAAGCAGAAGAAACAGAAGCCACCTCGTGGTCGACTTGAGCGACGGCATTGTACGCCATAATATAGGTCTTAGTCACCGACTGTCCATTCAGACCAGTTCTAATTGATAGATTTGAAGGGACTCGGAAATAGCCGGGATACCAGACAAAGAAAGTCAGAAGGGATGGAAAGGAGGGAAACTTGAGAGGCCGGCTAATTTTGGATTGTCGTACAATAATTTGAATAACCCTATGCCAAATAAAATGATAATGCTTATGCTAATAATAACGATGTAATTTCCTTCTAAGCCCAAATCAAGGAATTAAAGGCACTAAGCCATTTTAAGGGGGCCTTTGCGTTCATGTCTCGGTCCGTTTTGCACCCTAGCCCTGCTATTTTGACTCTCCACTCTGTTCTAGAGGTCTTGGCATTTTGATATATCTATAAAAGGAGTATTCTGTCTCAGGGAATAATATAAGGGCTTGAGCAAACTTTCTTAGAATATACTAACAGCACCCTCGGTATTTCGTCGGTGTCTCGTTGCCTATCTGTAGGTTTCCCAGTAACATGCATAAAAATACCCAAATAGGCAATACCGAGGTGTCCGCGTCTAAGCTGAACTGCATGACAACCCCGGTCCAATCAGGTCATCAACAGATATCGTAGTCTCAACTGTTTGTTCCATTGGATTGCTTTGTTTTGCTAGGATCTGACTAATAAAAATATATTGCCTAGGTGGTGCTCGAGGTTCGAGATGGTCGCGTGACCTGACCTATGTAGATAGTCGATACCATACCCTCATCTCACACTCATCGGTATCTACTGGACAACTCATGTACTGCCGCTTATTTTTCTTGGATAAATCGATTTCGGAGAATGCATTCCGGGACCATATCTCAATGGCCGCCAGCGCAGAGTTCCTGTTCTTCTCTTGGAAATCACGACCGGGCGATTTATATTCAAGTCTCAGCGTTTCTATCTGCATATAGATAATCTTTGCGTGCATACCACTTTGCGAACAACTTTTGCGGACCACTTGGCACCGCAACCCTCGGCTTGTGCTTCTCATGGAGGTGCCATTTGACAAACTGGTGAGGAGCCCAAACTCTGGTCCACTCGTTTTTCCTGAAATTCAACGAGATAATCTACTGCCTGCCTGAACCAAATATTGAAAAAAAGCCACATCATTATCCTCGATCGAGAGTGATTATCATGGGATCCTGGGAGAGGATATTGGAGCTGCCCTAGCCAATTTCCATGACATCCTTCAGGTGGCACGTTGCGGGCTTGGATGACTTTTTTGGATTTGAAATAACGGGCTCCGTTGGTCATTTATGGGTACTCATACAGCAACATAAAGCCAAGAGACCGGTGACGGCCATTTTGGAAGAAGTGAGGAGCTGGGGTGGCCAAGATCTAAGTAGGTTTTGAGGTAATATCTGGTGCTGTGCTCATTGGTCGGACTGCAATAACAGGCAGCTAGCTATAGGTAGTCCGGGCTTATCCTACCTACAATATAGTCCCTGACTATGTACCCCCTAGTACCTCGAAATTCGGTGGATTTCCGCTGCGGGCCAGTTATGATTCAGGCGATCACCGTTCCCCGGGGAAATAAGGTTATTTTGACCTGCCGTCACCCGCGTCAGATTTGCCTATATCAAACAAAGGACAGACACTTTTTCAACTGGAGTTCCTAGTGTTTTTCTTGCTGTCAAATGAGGCCTTCGCAAGTTCCCATTTTCCAAACACGGAACCATTCCCGCTTACGCATTAATCTGCTCAAAACCAACGCAAGGCTGTGGCTTGGCCATTCCACCTAGTGTATATAAAGACCAGACCACCCGTTCTAACGCGAATTGTGATAGAGAAATTACGCCTCCAGCGACAGATAGAAGGCCTTACACATTATTCCCATAAACGATATGTCTGGTATGACTCTCACTTCCAGCACATATTCCACATATTAACAGATTGAGTATTCAGAATCACGGGACAAATCCGCCCCTCTCCGCGTGGGCGTGGTGCTATTCCCCGGCTTTCAAGCCCTGGATGTATTCGGCCCAGTGGACTGCATCAATGTCCTCTCATGGAGCCACAACGTGACCTTGGCACTTATATCCTCAACCCTAGAGCCAGTGTCAACAAAGCCACCGGCATTAGCCATAGCCATAGGTCAAAGCGTGGTCCCAACCCACACCTTTAAGACGGTGCCTTGTTTGGATCTGCTTCTCGTCCCTGGTGGCCTTGGAACGCGCGGCTCAAGCCCAGCAATCGAAGAAGCGATCTCGTACATCCAAAATGTATATCCTGAACTGAAATATCTCGTCACGGTGTGTACTGGGTCGGGGCTTGCGGCGCGAGCTGGCGTTCTAAATGGGAAGCGTGCCACAACGAATAAGATGGCCTGGGCTGAGACTACGAGGTTGGCGGCGAATGTTAATTGGGTTCCTCGTGCAAGATGGGTCGTTGATGGTAATGTTTGGTCTTCTTCCGGGGTTAGCGCTGGGATTGATGTCACTCTTGCTTGGATTGAAGAGATCTATGGGAGCGAGGTGGCAAGGAAGATCTCGAATAGCACGGAGTATACTCGACATGAGGATCCTAGTCACGATCCGTTTGCTGAACTGCATGGCCTCTGAGTTGACCACTATCATCGTACCTACTTTCACGTTTTGTGTATTTATTTATATCCAGAGCATCTCTACTTTATTTGGAAATTTGATGGGAAAGGAAATTTAGACTATTGCGAATATATATATGAGCCAGATACATGAAGTCTACCTTTCCCAATGCCCCGAAGAAAGCCGCTTGTAAGCCATCGGCATGTTCATTTTATGGGCTTTGTTTGATCGTTCTGAGGGGCTTAGAAGAAGAAGTAAAAAAAAGTCAGTTGTGAAATAACAGGAGGCTCTCGTTTGTTACCAAGTCACAAAGTATCAAGCATATATCTCTAAAGACGACGATCTAGAAGTATCAGATTAACATGGGTAATCGAGCCATTTCTCCCAATCTGCCAGATCGTAGTGAATTTTTCATAGCCATTCGAGGCTAGAAAAAAGACGAAGATCCCCAAAGCTCATAACTTCCAGCAGTTGTGGTGGATGTCATCGGCTTCTCCACCCATTTCCCATTTCGCGAGTGGCACGTGACCGCGCGCCGTGGTCGACGCGCCTCAATCTCACAACTTTGCGATCAACAGAGCATGAATATTCCGACGTATCATAATGTCTTACTATGATATTGACTCCATCTTGACCGATGCACAGGTGAGTTGATTGACCACATACTCTCATAGTCAAGCTATAGAATTAAACAATTGCTAACATCGTTGAATCTAGAAACTGCCATGTACCTTTGAGCTCGAAGTACCCGGACTCGGTATTCTAGAGGGCAATGCGGGCGAAGATGTGAGTATATGCCCTACTCTTCACTTCCTGTCCATACAGCTCACTAACCTATGCACAGATCAAAGCTGGAACCCGGATCGATCTTCCACTATGGCTAGGTGAAATGCTCTCGATCGGGTAAGGTCCCACCCAGTTCAGCCTACACAAGAAAGACCAGGCATGGAATTTGCTATTTCCCTAACGTGTTACATGTGGTTGTATAGGGCACGTCTAGGAACGTCCCGTCTAGTCACGCTCGACATACCCGATGCGCTTTCGGAGCGGGTGATGAATGCACTGAAGGCAGATCCCCGCACGCTTGACTTGCGCGCTTTAGCACCACATTTCTACAACCTGAGCGAGCGGATTCTCGAACTCTTCGAGGAAGAAGAGATGGTTGATGTTCTCGGCGATGTAGGTGGCTCTGATTTCCGCGGCTGGTGAAGACAGTTCATTAGATGGGACTAACGAGCTGGTAGGCATTCAAGAAACGAGCGGCAGAAATTGCTGATCATGCACACAACTCGCGTGGTGCAGTCGGTGGCGGGGTTGATTTCCTTCGTGGACTGGATGAGACTGAGCGACAATGTAGGTTATGACCTGTTTCGGATAGGTGGAGGATGAGGTTACTAACAGATATGGTTCGATAGTGTTCCGTGCTGCTCATGATCGGGCCAAGGATATGCGGATCTGGTCTGGGGAGGCGAAACGCAAGTAATAGTTTGCAAGGCATTTCTAGTGGGCTCTGAGCTGCGCTCGCTCATGACAGTTATGTACTTTATGAATGTAATCCTTCCATCCGATAGGCTGTGACGTATAGACTGTTTATTTGTCCGTTATTTAGAACATGAGATACATATGTTGAATATATCAAACCTGACAGGTCTGAGACACAAGGCTCAGGTGGAGACATTTGAATCCAAACGTACATATCGAACTGTACGAAGTACATTCTTTTATTATACATTAAATCATACAATATAAATAGTAAATTCATATTACAATGCAAAGTACCCATGAACTTATAACTGACACAGTCAAAAAAGCCTATGAAATCAGAAACCCCGCCAAAATTAGATGGCCCCACGGCCTAGATCCGATTGGTGTGATCGTTAAGGAACAGAGCGACTAAGAACGAATTGATCGCCGTGCTAAGGAGCCTATTGAATCTAGCCTCGGGGGCTGGAAAAAAACATCTTTGGACATTTATGTTTCCATTCTTCGAGTCTTCCATTCCTTACCTCTCTCATGACAACTGTCCCTACGTAATACTACAATCTATAAACATCAACATCTACATAAGTGGGGCCTGCGACTATACCCTGTTTTACTTTTTTTGGTCTAAAGATCGACTCATCACAATCCGTTTGCGACATCACCCTCACTTCGTTTGACTTGCCCCAGTCCCGTCTCCCTTGAATCGTGGGACTGAAACTGGGACCGTATGCCTTGATTCGGGTCTATTGACTCTACAAACCTACCTTGCACTCCACAGGTTCGACCAACCAGCCTCTGATTGCCCCCTCCCAGCTGCGACACATCTGCATCCCTCGCATCGCGCCTGCTGGTTACCCTCCACCATCCAATCATCCAATACACTATCTGGCGTCTATCCAATCGACACCAATATCCCTGGATCTATCCATTAATCCTCCGATGCGGCCGGTGGATTGTGCAGGAAATTGTTACCGTGGTGTCCACTGATTGACCAGGATACTGCAGTGCTGCGTCCACATCGGGAATCTGGGGGCTTTACGGCACGTCAATTATGCACATTCGGTAAATATTATGCCTGCAGCCACTATGGAGGAGAAATCTAAAAGAAGGAGCTCGGCCGCTGGTCAGCCTGCTTCTTCGCACTCTCGAAGCCCCGCTCATCATCTTAACACTGCGCCAAAACGCGGTGTTTCTTCTAAAGGTCACTCTAGTACGTGATCTCTGAACTTGCACCTGCGTGTATTGAGTTTCAAAAACTCAGGGTTAAGAGATTAAAACTGACATTGTTTCTTCAAGGCTTATCAGAACGTCCTCAACACCCATCACTTTCCCGCGTCAGGGGCCGAACGAATATGTTTACTCCGCCTCGAATGAGTCCAGAGGCCTCGTGGCTGGGAGACCAGTCCCCTATCCACAAGGGCACAAGGACGACAAACCGTCTATCTGGTATGTCTTCCGGTTGCCAGTAACATTGGATGGCTTTGGAGCAAGTGACTGATTATTTGTGGCCCAGAAACCCCAGAACCGGCTACTCCTACATTAGTAAACCCTGCGTCGGCTCTCTTGCAGGGTTTACTGAAAGAAGAACGAGCACACCGAAGCTCCCGGGGAACAATATCAGAGGATTACAAAGAAAATGCCCCCCCAACCCCCGAGAACACTCGAGCCCAGGAGGATGTTGCGTCTGAAAAAGCACGCAAAGTGAGTGACGTCTTCTCTGCTGGTCAGAGAAAACCAAAAGAGATGGGCATGCGGGAAATGGACCAAGTAAGTTCAAGAGTAGAGGAACCTCATGTGCCCTAGCTGACTCGTCCAAAGTATGTTTCAAAGATGAACAAGCTCAATTTCGATTTGAAGCTCGAGGTCTTCCACCGTACGCAACAAATAGCTGTTTATGAAAAGAAGCTGGAACGGATGGCGGAGATGGAAGAACAACTAGCGCACATGGATGATTTGGTAGCGGAAGTGGAGGAGCTTCGAACCACCGAGAAAGACAACCAGATCCTACGTGAATCTAACGAGCAACTCCGCATCGACCTTGACAAGCGAGACCTTGCCGTTACTGAGGCCGTCGAGCTTATCTGTCAGTTGGAATCAAAACTTGACATGCTGGAGAACGGCGGCCGGGCCTCCAGGCTATCCATGTCACGCCCGATGACCGCCGATGGCTCCGCGGCCTTTGCACCGAAATCACGGGCCACGATTGAGATCCCGGAGAGAACATCTTCCAAGCGCAATTCAAGTGTCTTGAGCGTGGCTCAGCGTCAGACATCTTCTGAGCTACGCAAACTCTCGAAAGCACCCTCCTTCCTACGAGCGGATAACAAAAGTACTGCCACTCTGCGAAGCCTTTATACCCCCGGAGAAGAAACGCAGTCACGCTCTGCAAGGACTGAACTTTCAAAATCAGAGAGCTTCCACACAACCACCGAGATCATGGAGCCTGAGTCACCCAGACTGAGCGTCCTGAGTGAATGCAGTGAGCTGAATCCATTTGACACGCCTACGAGGTGGCAAGATTTTGATCAGCTCGAGATCCCTCTTCGGAGATCGTCCTCGGCCGCAGGCAGCGTGGATAGCTATGTCCCCCCCAGTGGGCGGGAAGAAAGCAAAGAAGACAAGGTTGATCGGTGGATGCAGACTCGCGAAGACGCAAACCAGACTATAATCACGAGACGCAGGAACCGAGCATCATCTGATGCTACCAAGGCCAGCATCCCCAGTTTTACAGCAGACTTGTACGCTCCCCAACCGCGTGGACGTGGACGACTGGATGCATCACTTTTCGACGGCATCAGGCTTCCTCCCACTCCTGACACCATGAGCACGGCATATGCTACCGGTGCAAACCGATCAAACCAGTCAAATGGGTCAAATGGGAGCATTACAGCCCGAAAGAGCCCACCGCCTGAGCAGGATCAGTTCTTCACTGGTAGGCGAGCTAATCGCCCACGTTCTGCGGAAGAGATGGCTAGTCACTACAGCTTCAATGACAGTGAGCTTTTCAACAGCATGCAAACCAATTGTAGTGATACTCCATGCCTGGGAGTCACAGCTGATGAGTCGCGCACTATCTTGCCCTCTTTCAACACTGTTTCCTCCAAAGCCAGCGAACTCCTCGGGCCTGGAAGCCCCAATAACCCTGCCATTGAGACCTTTGGAGATCTGTACCACGCAAATGCCAACGAAGCATCAACTCCAACAATCAAACGTGTCCGTAGCCCAAACAAGGCTATGACCCCGTCGGCGCGCACCAGTGACTGTGACTCTTTACCACCGCTCACACCTCAAGACTGGGTTGCCGCCGCAAAGCAGAGCCCACGGTCTCGCAAGCCAAAGACGTGTGAGACCCACCACGAAATTCAACAGACAGAGCTATCACCCCCCAATGTCGCCAGTCCAGCTACCTTCGATGACGACAGCAGCGTCGCTTCGGAGCCAAGCGAGCCTGAGGTCCCTGGTATCCCCACCCTTGACATGACCACTCTGGATATCCTGGAGCAACCTCTCGACCTTGCCCAGTCAGAGCCCAAATCCGAAGCCAACCCCGAGACCCGTCGACGCCTCAGCTTCATCCCCCCATTCTTCAACCGCTCAGCCAACAACACTCGTCGTTTACAAGGCTCGCCAATTCCAAATGACTTCGAAGATGACGATGAAGACGGTGCCCCATCCCCAGTAATCCCAAAAACCAGAACAATGGGCGGCGCCTCTCGAAGACCCATGTCCCAAATAATCACCGGCCCAACCGACTTATACTTCTCCAATCCCACAATCCACAATGAGGAACCGCTCTCTGGCTTCAGACCGCGAGGACTCCCGCAATCCTTGACAATGTCAAGACTTGCCGACCACGCCGGCTCCGCAACAGTCTCAGGACGCCCCTCCACATCCCATGGCGTAGAGCACAAACGGCGCAGCTCACTGGGTATCTTCAGCTGGATCAAGGGTAAACGCTCTGATTCTGTGGTTGTCTCAGGGACGGAGAAGTTCATTGAACCTGCACCGAAGGAGAACCGCGTTTCCTCGCGTCTAGCCTATGAAACTACTCATGGGCTGGGAATCCCCCGTGCTGAAACGCCGGACTCCATGGAGGCTCATGTCAGACCCCACTCTGAGATGGCTGTTCAGTCTGATGATCATTCGAAACGGCCTCGGTATATGGGCCGTCGTGCTCGCAGAGCCTGAGCTTAGAGGCTGTTATCCTCATTCTTTGTTTTCCTACTTCATCTTTCTTTGTCTGTATCATCCATCTTTTCCCTTTTGTACTCTATGATACCCAGCCTTGTATACACAATAGCATGGCTACATTGTTTCTTCCTCTTTCTCTCTCTTACTGTTCACTTCCCAGCAACATTTGAATGGCCTTTGTGTGATATGAGCTCTTTTTATTCGGTTTTCTGTTTGTCTGTTCTTCATGTATGCGAATCACGACTCTAGGCTTCTGCACTTTGAAGAGTGATTCACAATTCAATTCATGATGTTGATCCTGCTAGCATGGTTAACTCTAACTATATTCACATAGTCTGAAATGCTATGTTACTGAAATGTCATTGTGCACTTTTAAGCGGCCGACTAATCTTGTAATGACTTACCCAAAATGACTACTGTCTTAAAGGTATCCCAATATATGCATTAGTGTGTTATCGTGCGAGGCAGCCAGTCCATACTAATGCAATGGCCACAACATGTCCTCCCTCCTTCACCCCATATGTTCGGTATGTCGTTATGTCTTGAATGGCTTCACTGACTCGGTAATTAAAGCTGAGTCTACGGCGCACCCAAGTGGTCCTTCCCATCACTGTGAAGGTAGATCACTTAGAAGGTGAAGAATTTCGAGCCCTGCTGTCAACTTACGCGGGGCGAGGTACATCTCTCCGGTTCCCTATCACCCCAGCCGCGACGACAAGAGTGCCAAACCGTTCAGAGTACCCCTCCTAGTAGAATTGAGCAGGTCTTCAATCAATCAGGGATATTAAGATCTTACGATGTGCGTTTTGGTGATGTGACGGCGGAGGTTCGAGGCCATGAGTCTTGATCTTCCGGCCTTGTTGAACTCATCACAGAAGGGACATCTGTATGCGCAGGGGGCGATTGTCTAGAAACGATGCAAAACGTGCATTAGCCCCGAGCTCAGGGAAGGTTATCGGCTTGGAATACGCACGAGCTCAGCATGTTCGGTGGGCCACTGCCACTCGTCGTGGGTTAGGCAGTCACAAAGAAATTTGCCCGGTTCTCTGACATACATTCGTCAGCTAGGATTAGTGGTGAAGGGACCTCGAGACTTACGCCCAGACCTGGGGGTGGTAGGGACCATATGCCCTCCAGTGGCTGCCCTGGGACACGGGACCAGTGTTAATGTTAATGTTGATGCCCGGCGTGCTTCCAGCGCTGGAACTTTGGGAAGTGGACATCGCGACGGATATTACCGGCGTGAGCTGATTAAGTTGTGTTGATGTAGTGGTAGAAGTAGACCGGGAGAGGAAGTGGAAAATTTAGAGAGGATATGTCGCAATCACTGGAAGAGACGAAGAGACGAAGAGACAGGCAGCAGGTGTCAATAGATGTGTAGTGCTAGTGCCGAGTTGGGACAAAAGAGATGGGGATAATGTGACTTGGTAGTAAAGACGAGTGCCAATGAAGCAATTCTTGGGGCGGAAGAGGCAGTCTAGAGTCCTCACAAAGACAAAGATGAAGTCCTGACTTGACAGTTGATATCGATGCCTGGGATATGTTAGTTCTAGACAGGCCGCTTGAGGCAAAAGCAAAGGTTGCAATATCAAAAGTAATATCAAATTTAAATTCAACTGACTCCAAACTCCAAGTCTTCCAGTCCATTTTGTTCCCAACTCCAGTCTCTTTTCACCTTCCAAGACGCCCAGGTATGATAAATATCAAAAAAAGCCCAAAGAAAGCCCTCTCCAGCCAATAAACCCCAACTCAAAGCCTAATACCACTGATTCCCCGCCTCCCCAAGCTTCTGCTTCTTCGGATTCAGCGAAATAACCCGCTGCCCAGGAAGCGTATCCGCTGTAAAAGCCGCCTCAAAGATACTGGCAATCCCACGCTTAGAATAATGCTCAAAAGAATCGTAATCATCATTCTTCCCATCAATAGCCCCCCACTCAATCCCACCAGGCGTAGTGCCATCACCAAGATCACTCCACCGCGTAACAACGATGCACTGCTTGAACCTGCGATCTACTAGGTTCTCACTCAGCTTAACCTCAATCAAATACTCAGTCGGACACTCGGGACACCTCCGCATCGGCCGACAAAACCCACACAGTGTCGTCAGCGCATTCGGATCAAACACCTGCCCAGCAATCTTGTCCTTCACACGGTGCTCGAGCCCCTGCAACCCACCAGTACTCCGCGGCCGCGGGATATGCTCCAGCGCACACTTGCACACCGGCATCAGCTCGCCGTCACGCCAGTGCGCGCACGCGCTAAAGTACGGCCAGTAGTCTTCGCGTGAGTACAGGAGCATGCGCTGCGCGGACGGCGTGAGACCTGGGTCCGCGAATGTCTGACTAGTGACGCGCATTAGAAGATGGCCTGCGTTAACGTAGAAGCGTGATGTGTGTGACCAGTCATCGCGCTGCCAGCGTCGGCCAAGCGCCTCTGCGGCCAGGCCGTAGCTGGGGCCGAAGCGGCTGGCGCGCATGACCAATTGCACGAATGTGAAGGGGAGGATGCGGCCGTGGGTTATGCGGTGGCGGGGTGGAGGTTTCAGGGCGTTTGTTGAGTTTGGGCAGTTGAAGAGCGGGTTTAGGACGTGGCTTGGGCGGATGCGTTCTTTTCCTTCCTGTGTGCGTCTGTGATATTTTACGCAGGGGAAGCAGAGGAGGTGGTGTGGGAGGGAGATGTCCAGGCCGGAGAGGAAGTTGACTTTATGGGTGTGGTTGTCTGGGTGGTCTAGAGCCTTGAAGTTTCTTGGGCCGTCTAGTCTTCGGTATAATGTGATGCTGGCGAATGCTAGGCTGGCTGCTTCGGCGGGATTAAGGTATCCTGCTATCTCTGCCCATAGCTTTGGTGAGAGACTTGCTATATCTCCCTCGCCTGGGGGTCGATCTTCATTGTGGTCGTAGGTTGGAGCGCTGATCTCGTTGACGTCGAGTGCGCCTATTGTATGGATGATCTCTGTGTAATCCGTTCGCTCACCCAATTGTGAGTCCACATGTGCGTGCAATTCCTGGTATTTGAGTCTATGGGCGTGCAATGGAGCCAGCTCTGGCACAGGAGGGGCTTCTTCGACACTGGGGCGCGCGGCCAGCCGCAGGTCTGGGGTCGATCTGCCCTTGCGGAGGGTTTGGCGGGATTTCTTGGGACGCAATGCGTTGGACAAGAAGGCTTTGAAGCCATGCTTCTGACCAGGACTTTCTGCCGACATCACGGAGTTGCCAATGAATGTAAGTGTTCGAGGCCCAGATGGAGAATATCAGGGTCTTTTGTTTCGGATGCTTGCGGTGATCTTCCGCATTACGCGGTCCGCCCGGCCCGGTCTATACCGCATTGGTCGACATTTGACAGCAACAGGAAATAGCTAAATAGGAATGTTTATCACCAAATAGTTGATAGTATTGAAAAGAAATACATGCTACAATACAGGGGTAACTAAGCGCAAGACATCGTAGCAGCATTTACAAATAAAATGGGATAATTTAAGCGAAGCGCTTCTCAACTGTCTTCCAGTTGATGACATCCCAGATGGCGGAGAAGTACTCAACCTTGCGGTTCTGGTATTGGAGGCTAGAGATATAATTAGCATAGGCAATCGATCATCGAAACCGGAATTCTTACTAGTAAGCGTGCTCCCAAGCGTCAATACCAAGCAGAGGCTCGAACTGGCCGACGACAGGGTCCTGGTTCTGATAAGGAGTTAGTAACTAGAACTGTTCATATCAAATTTAATCGTCAATCATAGCTTACGGCATAGGTGCGGATGCTGATTTGTCCAGTCTGCTTGTCCTTCACAAGCCAAGCCCAGCCACTGCCCTGGATGCTGGCAAGAGCAGTGTTCATCTTGGACTGGAACTCGCCGATGCCACCGTAGGTGGTGTCAATGGCCTTGGACAGAGCACCCGATGGGGGCTCACCGCCACCGGCACTCTTGGGGGCGAGGTTCTCCCAGAAGAGAGAGTGGTTGAGGTGGCCACCACCGTGGAAGTTGACAGCGGGCTTGAGAGCGATCTGGGCAGCGATGTTGCCTGTAGCCTGGGCCTCCTGCAGCTGCTCCATGGTGTTGTTGTAGCTGGTCACATAGGTGTTGTGGTGGTTCTTGTGGTGAATCTCCATGATCTTGCCGGAAATGGAGGGCTCAAGGGCGCCATAATCGTCTTGTTTTACACATTAGTATAAGAATTTTAACATAAATAGATAGACTAGATAGATATGGCTCCTCTAGAGCTCCAGTATGTACTGAAATACTCAACTTACAGGAAAGGTCGGGGAGGGTGGCTTTGCCGCGGGCAAAGGTCAAGCCCGCAGCTCCGGCCTTGGAGGTAGCCGAAGCTCCCGAGCGAAGGGCAACACGGGCCGAGTTGTTAAGAAGAGCAGCCATTGTGAGGATGTGTGTTGGAAGTGAATGTATGGTGAAAGTAATAAAGAGGGCGTCAATTGTAAGAGACAAATGATTTCAAAGAAAAAAGTTGAGGCGGAGCTATGAAGTAACCGACTCTAACGTCATCTTGTTTTCGTCGGCCCGGAGCTCGGTTGTTCCGTTCCGAATCCCCACGTGAATTTCATGAGCTCTCCACTGCGACTCATTCTGTCATGACACTAGTTGCGTACTTTTACCCTCTTGCTGAAAACAGAGGGGACAGTCCATTTGGTCACAATCTGCCCATGAACCCCTGAAAAGATGGAGTCGCCTTCCTTTTCTGGCCAGAAGCGCAAAGTCGCTGACATGAACTCTGATGAAGAAAACACGCACCCGACCACGAGCTTTCAGGGATTCACCAGAGCTGCCTCTCGCTCCGTGACGCCTCCGACTATGGGTGGGCTCGGTAGTGGAGCTAGCAATATCCGGAACACCATGGCCAACTCTCGGGGAGGATCGTCACGAGGTGGGAAAGGCATGGGAGGTGGTGGAAGAGGGGGAGCCAACAGTTTTGCCGCGCGCATGATGGCAAAGATGGGCTACAAGGAAGGACAAGGTCTTGGAACTACTGGCCAGGGTATCGTCAACCCGATTGAAGTACAGGCGCGCCCCCAGGGCGCAGGCTTGGGCGCAGTGAGTGAAAAGTCGAAAAAGACCCGCGAAGAAGAGCGACGAGCAGCTGCACAGAAGGGCGAGATTCTCGAAGACAGCTCCGAGGATGAACGACAGCGGCGGCGAAAGAAGAAGGAGGAGCGCAAGTCACAAAGTCGGAGCGGCACAGGTACACCGATCCAGCGTGCCAAGCCCAAATTCCGCACAGCGCGCGAAATTGAGGATGATATGGAAGGACTGGAAGTTCCCAATGTTCTCAAATCCCTCGTCGATGCCACCGGAAAAGAGCAGCGCGTTCTCACTTCAACTGCAGGTCTGATGTCGACGCAGCAATTCGTCAGTCAAGAGGAAGGAGAAGCGTTAAAGATTGCCCAGCGGGCCCGGAACGACCTGGAGGCATTTGCAGATGAATGGAAGGGATTAAAAGAGAGAAAAATTTTCATCGAACTCGAAGAAGCTCAGGTCGTGGACGAATTGGATGCATATCAATCCCGGGTCAATCATCTCACAGGCCTAATCGCTGCAGTGGAAGAACTAGATATCTTCGAACACGACGAAAGCATCACGACCAAATTTGATGAGATGACGAACAAGCTTGAAGATATTGAATCCAAATATCGAGATTCTATTGATGAGCACCGACTCCCGGAGACCGCAGTCGCTGCTCTACATCCGTTATTCCGCCAAGCCATGGATGAATGGGATCCTCTTCAAGATCCCACGTTTCTCGTGTCCAATCTCACCCGTCTTCAGCCTCTTCTGTCTCGCACGAACGAGCTAGAAGAGCCCCGGAAACGGGCATCCACCTCACCTTACGAAACGATGATCTATACCCTCTGGCTCCCACGAGTGCGCTCAGCACTCCTGAATGATTGGGACGTTTACGACCCCTCCAAGGCAACCGCGCTGGTCGCGGCCTGGAAGGCGATTGTACCGCCATTTGTATATGCAAACGTTCTCGACCAATTGGTCGTTCCCAAGCTGGGCCTTGCCCTCAAGAACTGGAAACCTCGAACTAGCCGACGACACGTCGGCTCTGAACAAGATGGAAAGTTCCCCTGGTGGCTTTTCACCTGGCTTCAATACTTGGATGAACGACACACCAACCCGAAACAGCCCACTGGACTCATGTCTGACGCGAAGAGAAAGTTCCGCTCGGTACTCGACACTTGTAGTCTGCGCAAGGGTCTGGTCGATCGCGTTGAGATCTGGCGGGATGCCCTAGGGTCCGAATTTGATGTATGCCTACGCAACCACCTGCTGCCACGACTTGCGCGCCATCTTCGTGAGGACTTCACTGTGAACCCGCAAAATCAAGATCTCACAGCACTCAAGGATGTCTTATGCTGGAAGTCTTTCTTCCAGCCTAATGTCATGGGACTATTACTAGTTTCTGATTTCTTCCCCAAGTGGCACGAGATTCTCTACATTTGGCTCACGAACGACCCTAACTACGAGGAGGTCGGAGCTTGGTTCTCTTGGTGGAGCACTCAGATCCCGGCGGAGGTTAACGAGCTTGCCATTGTCGATGACGAATGGAACAAGGGCTTGAAAACCATGGACCTTGCCTTACAGCTGGGTGACCGTGCCGCCGCCGAACTCCCACGTCCAACTACGGCACGGACGCTTCCTACCCGGGAAGACAAGGTGGCAGCTGCTGCAGCTGCTGCCGCTGCGGCTACTCCCGAACCCCGGGTTAGGGCACCCGTCGTGGAAGAAGTTGCATTCAAGGACATCCTGGAGGGCTGGTGTTTGGAGCAGGGACTTATTATGCTACCCTTGCGCGAGGCTCATCCACAAAACGGTCAACCCCTGTTCCGTATTACGGCTAGTGCCACGGGCAAGGGTGGAGTCGTGGCCTTTATTCAAGGGGATGTGGTGTGGGTGCAAAATAAGAAGTCGAAGGAAATCTGGGAGCCAATGGGATTGGAGGACCAGCTAGTAGAGCGTGCGGAGGGCCGATAAGTAATGCTCGGTCAGTGTTGTGTATGAAGTGGAATGATATGGAAGATGAATAAAAATGTATCTATTTATGATATCCAACCTTTTGCCATGCCTTATAGTACATGATGTAGAGCCCACCCGGGTATATGACTCAAGCCGTATACTTTTTTTTATCCATCTCCGATGCAACCAGGCGTTCAAGTAGGACTGAACCGTCTAGATATTATCGCCCGATGTCTTACATGAGTAGGACCAGGTTGGCTACGCTTTGTTTCCATTGTCTTTAAATTTGTGCTGGTGCAACCTATATCGCACATACCCAAGCAATTCGCAGACTGTGCAAGGGTATTTAACTGAGTTGTCAGGTGGTGCGGAGTAGATACGTCTAAGTCCGTCCACTATACTTCCCAAAGGCGTAACTCCGACCGGGGTTTAAACTCTTGGCCTATTCATTACTTTCGGATAATTGTCGAAGATACCAAATTCCATGGAGTGCCCGAGATCGGAATAAAGCCGAAACCCCGTTTAATGCTGTCCATGGAGTACTCCCTATCATGACAATTGGAGTAGGTGATGGGAATATCAAAAGGCGATCATTCCGATAGCATAAATCCCAGCCAGTCAAAAGTGTGATGATAGTGGATCCGATCTTTGACCCACTAGAATGCGGATCTCCGCATGCAGCCAATCACATCACATCCAAAGGTCATCACAGCATACTTCACCAATCGTAGCGATTTGATTTAAAGTGACTTGCCATGTTCCCTGGACAAAGCTCAATGCCTAACTCCTTTGACTGTCGAAGCTGACATATGGGAGTCCTGTGATTGGTCCCAGACCCCCTCCTTGGCGAATAGACCTCCATTATTTCCTGTTTGACCTGCATAAACTGTGGGCTTTTCACGGTTTTTTTTTTCTATGCGTCTGAATTGCTGGATTGGCGAGAGTCCGTGGGACTATGTTAAAAGGGGTGAGACGTGGCCGTAGTAATTTCTTTTTTCCTCTCCATTCGTTTCATAGTTTTTTTGATATCCAAGACAACCCGTTCCGGATTATTCTACTGGATCAGATAAAGTGCAACTATTTTCCAGTTTGGCTTCCTTCATCGCGTCTGCCTCCTGCCGGCTTGTAATTGCCTGAACTTCTGCTATACTTATCTTGGAGATATCCCAAAGCATATCTTGGTAGCAGTTTTTTTGGATCAGCATGGCATTCCTCTTCATCAAGCAGAAGCTCTTCCCTACAAGGGAATCAGACAAAATACACTCAGGTGAGTAGAGGAAAGAGAATACGTACTCACAGAGGCATATACTGACGGCAATTCAACTCTAGGCAAGCGGCTTCTCGCCCGTATTGACGACGACGATACCATCCACGGAGACTCCGAACCAGACCTCGAGTCTCAAAGCGGCCGGTCCTACGACACCTTCGGACGGTGCAGCAGCCCCGATGAATCAACAACCTCAACCACCAGCAGCAGCAGCACCCGCGCGCGCATCAACCCACGTATCGTCTCAGATGCCATCCTTGGCCTCTCGGACGGGCTGACGGTTCCCTTCGCCCTGAGCGCGGGTCTATCCGCACTCGGAAACACAAAAGTAGTTGTGCTGGGTGGACTCGCCGAGCTGGCAGCCGGAGCCATCTCCATGGGACTTGGTGGATACGTCGGTGCAAAGAGTGAAGCGTAAGTTATCCACATCTGGCAATGAATCAGCATATGTACTAACAAACACCAGTGAATCCTATCAAACAACAGTCCGTGAAACACAAGAGTTAATCCAAACGGACTCGCAAGAGACTCGTGCCATGGTGCGCGAGACATTCTCTCCATACGGGCTCTCGGATTCGGCGGTTGCGGATATCACGCGTGATTTACATGCGTCCCAAGACCGCCTCCTCGAGTTCCTACTTGCTTTCCATCATCGAGAGATTGCGCCTGACTGTAACCAGGCGTGGATTTCGGCCACCACGCTCGCGCTGGGTTACTTTATTGGCGGATTTATCCCGCTTATTCCCTACTTCATTGTCTCGCAGGTTATGGTTGCACTGTACTGGAGTATTGGTGTTATGGCGATTACCTTGCTTGTGTTTGGCTATGTCAAGACCTGTGTTGTGCGCGGCTGGTCTGGCCGGGCCAATGTACTGGCTGGGATATGGGGCGGAGTGCAGATGTGCTGCGTTGGAGGTGTTGCTGCTGGTGCGGCGATTGGACTGGTCCAGTTTATTGATATGGGCAGTACTCGACCCTGATAGTGATGGTACTGATGATGTTCACGTTGCATTGAGCGTTCATGCATTGCAGCGGTCGGAGTAATTTGCTTTCTCTCTACTCCTACTGTTTTTCATTCTGGTTTGACTCGGGGTATGGGTCTCCCAGCGGGCGTTTGGGGGAGCTACAAATAGCTGTATTATACACATTTAACGAGGCATAATTCATTTCCCATTGACGACATCAAGTTACATGATTTGAAAAAAAAAGGCATTAGTACTGGTTACCTTAGATATATGGATATATATGTACATGAAACAAAAGAATCACCCACTCAACGCAACTCCAACCAACTTCTTCGCCTTATCCGACAACTGAATCTTCAAAGCCTCCTCCCTCCCCCGCTCCGACATCTTCCCCCAAGTCTTCCTCAAAATATCAACCATCTTCTCCTCATCTGCAAGCTCAGCCTCAAACTTATCAAACTGATCATCCAAAAAGACAAGACAGGCAACATCCTCTAGAGTCTGCGTATCAGGATCTCCCTGCTTAAGATCCGCCTTACGCACCAGCGCGCCAACCCTCGCCGCCTCCTCAGCCGAATACCCACTTTCAACGCAGATCTGCTCGACCAGTGCAGCCTGTCGCCTCTGCAGTCCCGCGCGCCACGAATGATATCCAATCTTCGTGGCGGGGTAGCTGTCCCGCGGCACTTCCCAGCGGCGCAGGTGTTGGGCGCGGATTGCAAGCTTCAGGAGTTCTGGTGCGGATGGATTTAGGGTTGCAAGGTAGCTGGTCATTTTTTGCGCGTAGTGCAGTTCGTATGGGATTGGGCCGGTGGGTGTTTGGGTTTGGCGGGGGTCGTCGGCGTGTGCTGCATCGATGCGCTCGAGTGCTGCTTCGTATTTGGTCATTTTTGGGATGTGGATGGTGTAAATAAGGTAGGTAGTTTATTCTGAGTGGTGTAATTCGGTGAGAGGAGTTTGGGTTGGTCAATTAGACTTGTTCGTGCTTGAACGCTGTCCAAGTTGATATGCCGTTTGGGATAAGATCAGGCGCTAGTTCCGATATAGCTTAGCGTGAGTAGCAATTGGTCGTTTCTAATTGGTGGGTAAAAATGTATACATTCCAACCTTGAAAGGTACAACTGAGCTCACATACCAAGGACCTTGCCTAATTATTATATCTGTTCTATTTAAAAAAAAAAACTTCCAATCTGAATTAAGATCACAAGACAATGGTGGATAATCTCTACATATCTATCTATAGGATTTGCTATTCCACATGAACTTTGAACAACAAAGATACCTAGATAACATCGGGGCCTGCTGGAATTAGCCTGCGAGGAACTGTTTCGGGACCGAGCACTGTCGTAATTACAACACGCAACAGCAACAAAAATTACAATCACATTCAGGAGGATGAGGTGCTGTCCTTGTTCTGGAACACGAGCAGCTCTTGCGAAACATCCGAGTTGTTCGACTCCACCTGGTAAGTCTTCTCCTTTTCAAAGATCCGTGCCACCTCCTCCAGAGATAGGCCTTTAGTCTCCGGGAAGAGGAAGTAGATCGTTCCCATGAAAATCACAAGACAGCCCAGATACACCGTGAAGTACTTCCAGCGGATTGCCGCCAAGGCCACCGGATTAATAAACTGGTTGAAAAAGCAAGCCATCGAATCGGTGGTCAATGTGATAGCAAGGCCCTTGGCGCGGAGTTGGAAGGGCAGGATTTCAGCTGGGTATGCAATGAACAAGGGCATATATGCCATGTCGTAGGCGCTGCAAAAGAGGAAAAGCATGGGAACCACAGCAATGCCAGCCTCTAGCACATGCATCTCCTGGAAAAGACCAGACATAGTGGTCGCGGCGGAGAGATAAATGAACATCAACATTGTCGCGATTAGCCAGAGCTTTCGTCGTCCGTACCGGTCTGCAGCCATTGCTCCGGCGACCGCGAATCCCAGGTTCCACACCTGCATGCTAATATTGATAGCAGCCTGGTGAGATGCGTTGTATATACCGACTGATTCCAGAATCGGCGCTAGATAATAAGAAACCACACCTAGAGAAACTTGGGTTAGAAATCGGAGTGGAAGAAAGGGGACTTTTTCTTTTTCTTTTTCTTTTTTTTTTGGTTTGCATACCATTTCCAGACCACTCTTGCATGAACCCCAGAATTACACAAATGGATAGGCGATGCATGTTGCTCCTGGTTTTGAAGAAAGTGCTCCAGCGGCGGCAGCTCTTATCGGATTCCGCGTTTATGCTCTTGCAAATCTGGTAGAATTCATCCTGAACCAGTTCATCGTTTTCATCTCCATTGGCGTGATATTTTGCCAGTATCGCCATTCCCTCCTCTTTCCTTCCGCGAGAGACGAGCCATCTTGGGCTCTCGGGAACAAAGCAAAGCCCTATCAATTGAAGGACCGGATAAAATACCTGCGTTAAGCAGGGAGTTTCCATGACCAACTCCCTATGACCGTGAGTCCAGCAAAACCAATAGCAGCTGATGTGATTGACCCGATGAACCAAAGTGCATTGTATAGACCCGTGAAAGCCTGTCGCTGGCGTGGATGTGTTGATTCGGTGATGAGCAATGGTGCAGCCGTTTGTGAGACCCCAACTCCCACTCCAGCTAGGACACGAGCACCGAAAAAGACCCAATTATTGTTTGTAGCGACTTGAATAATGGAGGCGATGATGACTAGTGCGGCTCCGATGAGAACGCAAATCCTCCGTCCCAAATTATCGGCGATGTAAGATCCGGGGATGAAGGAGCTAAAAGATCCAAGCGAGACAGCTGCGATAATCAGGCCTCTCTGATTTGTGTCAAGATCTCCCAAAAATTTCGAGACTGTTTTTTTTTTTCCGGGGAGGTTAGCCTTGTATTCCATATAGCATAGATGTATAGATGCCTACATTCGGGAAGCACCAGGAGTCCATTGATCATGCTAGCACAATATCCGGCGGTAGCCGATGCAGATAGCATAAGCCCGATCCCCAGGTTTAGTTTCCGCAGCCCTGGATCTTTCATCCAGCTGCTGTTGGTGTTGTTCTGTAAGACCTTGGAGGCCATGTTTGACGAAATGCAAAGAGAATGAATCTCGTGGAGAATTGTTCCGAGCCTTGAACTCCGAGCTGTCAAGCTCTTTTTATTTAAACACTAAAGATTAATTGGTAAAAAAAAACCTCCGAATGACAATCCGCTCTAGCATTCCTCACATTTATCCAGGACCCAAGCTGGCCGTGCGAGGTTACAGCTGTAGCTAAGGAGTAGGAATGAAGGGATTGAAGTCAAATGATCCGATCACCGGACAATTTTTCTCAGTTAGCTCTGATTCAAGAGCTTTGATATGACACGTTCGTCAACATGCCTGTTCAAAGATCGCGATTGGAAGATGAGCTCCCAAGGCCTTGGGAAGCTCGGATGCTTGAGGAATGCTCGTAGCTCTCATAGCTCCCTCCCCTCACCTTTGGCCACGGGGATCGTTTCCTGAGTTGCCCAAATCTAGCTTGGAATCGTAGCTATAGCCTCCGTATGGATTCCCTTGATTATTGAATTCGCCATAGATCGACTCGCCCTTATGCAGGGACGTTGTCTCTGGGGAAACGCTGTAAGGAAAAGCTCCTCCATAGGTCTTCTAAGGAACCTGATTTCCCATCCTTTCCTTCTTTTTTCTTGGATTTCATGAGTAAGCTCGGCTTACCTCCGTTTACTTTGCGTCACTTGATATTTGAAAAACTCCGATCAAGGAGAGTATTAAATTAGGAAGCTATAACGTGTGGAATGATATTACTGGGGTTCTGACGCGGACGACCTTTTGGCACCAATCGGAAACCCCATCGGTCTATCCCGGTGACTTACGGTTTCCCCCTTAGGGGTCGGAGTAGATTCGGAAAATAAACCTTGTTTAGATATGACGATAAATCCCGATAGATCTGAAGCCCGGGATGCCAAATACAGGATTGAAGTTTACCTGAATAATCTGGAATCACCAAAAGCGTAATTCATAAACATGAAATTATGAATTATGAACAGGATTTCGAACTGGAATCCCATGAGGTCAGTTTAGGGCTTTTTATTGGCTTAGTTGCTTCCGCTGAGCAAACTGCGTACCTTTGTACTTTTAATTGGACCTAGATGCCTTGGACATTGAATATCTTCGTTTGCCTAAAAGCGTACTACATATTTAGGTATGGTGTAAATTGGGGCTTAATGGGGTATATATTGTAGTAAATCTGTGGATATATATATATATATATATGGGGAGCAATCTATGAGATGTGCCCCACAATATGAAAAGTAAGTTGACAATTTCTCGTTTACACAAAGATTCACAAGCACTACAGATCCCTTACAGAGTAGTGGTTTGTTATTTCAGTGCTGGAACAAATTCAGACCCTGTGTTGTCGGAAACATTGGATCGCATATAAACCACTATGAGAACTCAACTCCTTGCGGGATTAGAAGCTCTGGTTTCCAGTTATCCACCGGAAGAATCCCCAGTAATTTCATATCCCAACTCGCACTATAACTCGTAAATCCATTAAGATAAGAGAAACTCCGCAAGTATTGTCATAATGCCAAGGCGCTGGAGATGTTCGAGACACCGGGCGTCTTGGCGTGAGCTTACTCCTAAACCTAAAGGTTCGGAAGATTTGTCTTATCTGATCTGCATCTTCAGCCCTACCTCTGTACCATCAAAATCCTACATTGAGCAATCTTGACCTACCTTGACCGATTTTGGCCTCGCACAAAATGACACTCCTCGATGACCCTCTATACCTCAAATAACACAAAACAACTATATCCTAACTAAAAAGGACTGGGTCCTATCTTTCAATGACGAAAAGGAAAAGCTCACCGGCTTCTAAAAAGAACAAAATGAAATGATCGAGGGATTCCTTACCGCTGGCGAGGAAGAGCGCCTCAAAGCCGAAGACGAAGCCTAAAAAGACGGCAAAGTAAAGCTCGCCGTGCGCGCCAGCTTCACAGTCAACTTCTTCCTCTTCGTAATCCAGCTCTACGCAGCCGTGAGCACCGGCTCTCTGGCCTTGTTCGCCACCGCAGCAGACACCATCATGGACCTCGTCTCGTCCATTGTTATGCTCGTCATGTCGCGCATGTCCTCACGCCCAAAGCCATACAAGTACCCCGTTGGACGGCGCCGCGTCGAAACAATGGGAGTGATCATGTTCTGTGCGTTGATGATCATCGTGGCGGCGGAGCTAATCATCGAGTCGGCCAAGGCGCCTGCAGTGGGCGAGACCGACTCGGAGCAGCTGCATATTGTGCCGCTGATCTGTGTTGGCGTTGCTATCTTCTCCAAGTTCGTTATGTTCTTGTGCTTCTATGGCTAGCGCCGGTACCCGGCTGTCCATGTCTTCTACATTGATCACCGCAATGATCTGGCTGTTAATTGGTTTGGGTTGATCATGTCGGTCGTGGGTGATCGATTTGTCTGGTATCTTGTTCTCGTGGGCGTCGACTGCGTTTGATAATACGTGGTTGCTTGTGGGCAAATGCGTTCCGCGTGAATTTGTGTATTTATGTGACACTGACTCATGACCAGAAGGTTCAGAAGGTGGATACGGTACGCTGTGAATGTGGATTGAGTGGATTGCTTACTGGCATTTTGGCTGACGTTACATGGTGTCGCGCTTATCATTCCTGACAGCAACTCTATATTGAGCTTGATATCGTTATCGACCCTGAGTCTAAGTTTGTGAGCCTTTGTAAATGTTGATTATGATTATGTGCATGATGTCAACGAGGAACATAGGCAGCTCTATGATGTTTGTGGAGCAAAACACTCCATCAGAGATTTGGCGAAACAATCGTGGTCCAAAAAGGAGCAGATAGATGAGGCTGCAGTGTGAGATAGCCTCGGTTATATCATGGTTGAGCTGGTTTCTAATGTCTTGGAATGTCATGCGGCCACAAAGCAAGAATTCAGGAAAAAGTTAATATCATTGTCGGCTTTAGTAATGCCGACAATAACTTCTCAGTTGCGAGGCAATTTGTTATAAGGTATAAAAGCAAAGCCTGGTATCAACACAGCCCGCAAGGCTCAAAACATGATATCAACACCACACATATACATGTGCCATTCTGTCCAGACTAAACGGCAGTCTTTCTCTTCTTAGTTGTTGCAAACATGCCGAGTGGCTTGACACTGAAAGCACCATTGAAGTTCTTCCCTTCCATATCAAACGTATACTCTTTATCCGCCAACTCAAAATCAACATCCTTAATGATGCGAATGAGTGCGTATAAAGACCATTCCCAAGCATATCGCTTACCATAACACTCACGTTTCCCATTTCCGAACCCCTTCTTCACACCGCTTGGAAGCCGGTCAAAGGCGTCGCCGAGCATGCGCTCGGGCTTGAATGCATTGGGGTCATCAAAAACAGCAGGATCGCGGTTGACAGCTGACAGGATTGCGATCATGGTCTGGGTTTTGGGAATCTCGTATTGTCCTCCACCGAGTAGGACCGGACCATCGGTGGGCAAAGGCTCGATGTTGAAACCTGGGGCTGTGGCGCAGAGACGGAACGATTCGCGGAGGATGGCTTCGCAGTAGGGCAATTGTGAGAGATGGAAGTGTTCGATTTGGCCGGAGGGACCGAGGAGGGTGTCAATCTCCTGACGGGCACGGGTGACCTCGTCTGGATTTCTGGCGAGATAGTACAGACTGAAGGCGATGAGATTCGGGGCCGTGGCACTCCCAATGAAAATGTTGATTATCTCGTCGATGACCCGGCTGTCTGGAAGGGAATCTCCAGTCTTCGGGTCCTTTTCATGAAGTAGGGCATGCAGCAAATCCCGCTGTTGTGTGGGCTTATCACGTCGCTTGGTGATCATCTGAGCGCAATAGTCGCGACAAGTCTTGATATCCTTGTCGAATGTATTCTGGTACAACAGCCGAGTAAGGAGCTTAGGTCGCGTGGGCCGACGCATGGCTTCAAAGGTTGTATCTGACATAGCTTTGATAACAGCGGGTTCTTCACCAAGGACACAGTCTACATGCTGACCGAAGAAGCATTTCATGTTGGCGGCATGGTTGAGTCGATCCAAGTCATTGGAGACATCCACACGCTGGGTACTGTCTGTTGTAGTCCATTTCCAGATCAAGTCGTCTGTTGTGAGTTGTATATCCCTATGCATTTCCCTGACGGCGTCGGGCAAAACGAAAGGAGCCATGATCCGATGCGCGATGCCCCAGCTTTCCTCGTTGTCATACGCAGTAAAGAGGCTGTCGTGGGCAAGATTGCGGATCTCGACAATAGGACCGGTGACACATTTTCGGAAGCGCTTCTCATCACAAATTTCCTCGAGTAGAGCTGCACTTGTAATGAAGACAAGCTGCTTGGTGAGTATCTTGATTTTGAAGATGCCACTACCACCATGTTCTGCTGCCAGCTTATTCAAAGAAGCCCAGGTATTGCCAGGGATCATATCAAAGATATTTCCAAGAATTGGAAGCCCCTGGGGCTGAGGAATAGGCGAAGGCATAGTGTGTACTAGCTGATTCTGAGGATCTTTCAGGATAATACGGCAAACCACTTTCACTTAAATGAGAGAGCGCTCGTCACGAGCAGCCAAGAATGCAGCTATTGCACAAGCTGTGCCACATGACCAATTATCAACCGTACGGTCAATTAACTTGGGTGATGTGATGGGCGTGAATATTTCCTCGCCTGTCCAATTGGACAAGAGTAGATGATCAGCAGGGTTTCCGCATCAGAAACTCGTGTTGGGTGCAACTGAGCTGCAGCTGGAGCTACAAAGCTACCTAACCCCGCATACCTGTGTGATGTGTGATATGTGACGGTACTTTTGCTTTTGCTTTTGCGGCTTGAAAAGATTTGTCAGAGGGATATACACTCAGGCACGGTGCTGTCTAGAATTACTTAAACCGCCAAGCTATCACGCTTTGCTTCTGCTCTTTTCCCAAACTTCTGATGCCCAAAAAACCGCCACACCTTCAATGCCGACTAAACACATGATATGCCTCGCCCTGACATTCCTGCACCTGGGATCCTGGAGCCTGATTTAGTGAATGCGGTTCTGGTCATGTCATCCAGAGTTGGAGCATATTTGTGATTTGAAGGCGCTGATACCTTTGATGAAACACGGTCTCGGGCAAGAAACCCAGGAAGTGAGAGTGTATTACCCAGGCGTGATAGAAGCCATCTCTTAACTCACAGACAACCTGGGTTGGAAGCATGGACCGCGAGGCACCCTATCACAGCACACCTAGATAAATGTAGGTAACCCTTATGAATAAAGCCCGTGATCTCACCATGTTCTTGCCGGAGGAGATATTCTGCTCGGAAAGGCAAGAGTGCCGTTAACATCTCGGCCTTTGTAGCACATTTAATACTCAACCAGCCCACTTCATCTGTGGTGTTCGTGGACTCTTTCATACCCACGTGCGTTTTTGGCCTCTTACCATATCTCAAAAGGAAGATATTTGTCCACCATGGACTGGACCTCAGCAACTTGGTGGTGTTGATATCAGGTAGGCACAGACGGGTAGGAAGAAAGGAAGAAAGTTGGGGGCGAGGGTTATACTCCCAACACTCGCACCTTCCTAGAATCGAAAAGCCCGTACTTCCCTACTTTGTCTATGACCCGAAACCAACTCTTCCCCAAGGCCTTTTCTTTTGTAGGCGCCTTCCTACACCAGCATGGTCCACGGGTCTATCCAGGCACTCTGGACTGGACACATCGACTATAAGCTGATTACATAACCCGAATGCCACTTCTACCTTACAATGAAGCGAAGCATCTTGTCATCTATTGAATCGATTGACTAATTCTTTGGCACTTGTCTCGTCATCGTGGAATGATATCTCCACGTTGCCAAGGCCAATGTTCCAAAGACTCGATGATATAAAAAAAAATGCAAAGGAAGAGTCATGCACACTCCCTATAATCATTGAAGATGAACACATCGCACCATCTTGGCTGGGTTAGAATAATCATGGAAACAAGAAGCATAAGAGAAAAAAAAAACCAAGTTACCAACCATTACAGCAGTGGAGATCTCGAATAGCTGTGCGCGAGATATAAGAGAGGAAAAAAAAAAAAAAAAAGAAGAAAAACCAAGACGGGAGAAAACAAAGCTTACGAAATAAAAGCAATTGATCATATCCACTTTGGATAGCTTTGTTTCCCGCCAAAAAACGCCGTCCGATTGATGAAGCCGGGTATATCCAGCACCGTGATGCAACATGTACTGAGAATGAAAAAAAAAAGACAAGGGGAGGGGAGCCACAAGAGGTGTCGAGTTCTCGGGCCTTGCACAGTGGCAAGACTCGGCTCGAGCCATCAGCCCATCACCCCTAGGTTAATATGGGCAGAATTGGTGTTTCATCGAAAAAAAAATAAAAAATTAAACAGAAACAGCTTTTTGGTTGACTCGAAATGATCATAGAACACATTTCGTCATCTGGCCCCGATGCCGAACATGCCTACCCCGTAGCTAGCGCTTCTTTCGGACATGGGGGTTGACACCTTAGCGACGTGGTCCTGATTAATTTGATTAATTCTTTTCAAAATTGGTTACGGTGGGAATGCAATACCTTCTTGCGTTTCTTCTTCCCAGTTCCCTCGCCGTTCGAGTAGAATCCGGGGTCATCATCATCATCCACAAACCCTTCACCATAGCCGGCAAAGCTATTGTCATCGTAATGTCTCTTCCGACCCCTGCTAGGCCGTGGTCGCTCCGCTTCCTGTGATCGTGGAGATGCAGCATAGGATTGAGTAGAGGGGCGACCGGCAGTTGGAGCTGGGGCAGCCTTCTTGCCAGTCTCGCCTGGTGCTGGATTCTTGGCCGGCTTTTCGTGACCCAAGATATCTTCCCAGAAATCGTTATTAGGAATCGGTCCTGGTTCCATTTGCATGGCTCGCGATTGAAGATTTTGTAGCGCCGAATCCATGTCAGAAGTCTTGATGGGTTTGCCATGCACCTTCTGGTTCTGCCATTCCTCTTCGGGCCATAGGGTCATGTACCTCAGACTGCCAGGAGCGCCAATCTCCTGTTTGAGGGGTTTGTTCCGCCCAGCGAGTCCCAATCCTTTCAGCTTTCCCTCGTATGATTTCCGGAGGCGGTTGATTTTCTCTCCCGTCACGGGATCCATGCGTGCTACCGAGTGCGCGATTGAGCCTAACCCATAGAGAGAAACGAGATCCACTGAAGGGTCTGGACCAGTAACGATCGGAGCTGTCAAGGAGTAAAAAGCAGTGTTAACAACTTCAGTTCCAAGAATGTGCAAGATCAGTACATTCATGCAGCTGCACATAGCAGACGCCATGATGCATTTTGGGGAATCTTACAGCTCTTGCAAAGATGAAAAGCCGAGGTTAGCTCTTTCTGAAGAGAATCCAGACTGAGACCGAGGGTGTTTGCCTGGTGAGTCGGGTCTGTATCTACATCCATAGCGTCGGGGTCTGTCGAGTGCGGACCCTGCCCGGTGGCAAAATCGTTAGTGCTGTCTGTTGGCAAAGACTGCCGATCGTGGTCGGTCGCTCTGTGCTGTGCTGGTTGCTGAGCGGGACTTGCTCCCGAGTTTTCTGCCGAGTCCTGCATCCCCATACTGAAAGATTTTCTCCCCTGATCCACATCCTCCACCGAAGTCGCATTTGCAGGATGACCACTCACACTGCTGGCGGGAGTGGGGAATGAATTCGTTGTGCTCATTGTGGGCTGTTGAGAGGTTTGGGTAGACATCGGCGCAGAGGATGGGGGGAGGAGATGTTCGGAGGTTGGACCGTCGCCTGATTCGGTGATGTATGCGAGGATATGAAGTTGGCGGCATGACTTTGTTCGCTCACCGACATCAACGGAGGAGATGTCGGGGTCTGGGGGATGTGGTCCGAAGAAATGGGCAACCGGTGGTTCTCTTTGAGAGACCCGGCGGGCGAGGAAGGTGAAGGAGGTCTTGCTTGAAAGGATATGGGGTGAGTGCGATCAGACATGAGAGCCCGAGGAAAAGTTCAGCATGCAGATACGGTGTTAACCAGAGCGGCTCTGGATCCGAATCGCAAAGTATGATACCAGTGCCTGGAGAGGGGGTTTCCCGGTCACGATCGACGGTCGCTCAAGCAGGCGAGCAGGTCATTCAACGGGCAAACTAGATCATCTGCATTCCAAGGGACTATAATAAATCCCTACAAGTGGTGCAGATTGGGTGGCTGATGAGTGGCTGTGGTGAAGGAGAGTGATGATGGAGACAATCCTTGTGGTCAAAGCCGGCGAGGATGACGGCGAATTGATCGGTTCACGTGACCGGTCTTGGCCCGATGTGCTTTATTTGGTACAACATATATGCATTGTAGATTCTATTGATTTATGTATGGAGTATGCATTCATGTATTCATCTATTCATTGTTCTTCTCTTATTTTTTTCTCTCTCTTTTTTCTCATTATAATGCGACGATACGAGTGCGTCTGGAGACTCTAAATAATCATCTCCTTAGCGAGTGGCGAGAATTACTTCGTACAAGTCGCCGAAAACCAAAACTTTATTCAAAAGCACTTGTAACTATATTTACCGGGACTAAATCGCCCATACTTGATTGAATACACATTAAATTAATATATAAATTTTAAGATATAAATTAATCAGATTGTATCGCACTCTTCAGATGTTGGGTTGCGGAACCCGGGTCTTACCTGCGTCGATTATTATTTCCCCCCCCCCAATGAATCATGTATGAAATGGAACTTGAAATAATTGAAAATGGTATCTCTTACTACTGAAAGACTATTCGCCGAGAAAACAAAGTCATGTGGCCTAAGATGCCTTTCTCAACATAGGCGACCCCCAGCCCGGTTAGCAACATGACCATTAAAGAATACATATTCCACAGATTGTCAGAAGATGAGGCAGTCCAAAATAGAATAGCAGTGATATACCGGAAATCAAGGCATAACTCCCCAGCTAAGCGCCAGAGCTCTCCAATACAAAATGATATCCGCAGACGGAGATCGACTACACCAGAACCTCAGGACTGATAGTAAGCATTATACTCATTAACCAGTTGAGAAGATACATCGGGTATATTGTGTTCGAGGGAAGCCAGGAGCTCAATTTGCTCTTGCTGACTGAGGGTGCGCTCACGCCATGAAGGTGTTGGAAATGGCTCATGAAAGTACTGAGAGTACTGATCTCCAATGGAGGTGGACCAATTCATGGGATCGACAGTCGCATCGGTATATGCCAAATGACCCGCGGTTGTTGAGGCAAGTGAGAAGTTGGGGTCCCAGCCTTGCAGGCCTGGAACAACTGAAGGTATCGTGTTATAAGGGGTGGTCGGGTCGATCGATACATCGTGGTAGAGTGTCGGCCCAACGTAGGCTTCTGGTGTATAATGTGGCGCCCCACTCTGGGCTGTAAGTGGCGGGTGCATGCGGAATGCGGAGGAAACCAATGGCATTGGTGGTTCTTTTGATAGTCCAGGAGCCATTGCAGGTGGGGTTTTTTCTTCATTGAATGTAGGATCAGCCGAATGTCCCCTGGAATAAGTACCGACTGAGGCGGTATCACCGACTGGTAGGTTGCCGCCACGGTTGTTGGAACAATATGAAGCAGTTGTACTGCTTGACGGGCTGGACATCGCTGGAGGGCTCGTGACTCCTTGTGAGGAGGTTGGCGTAGGATGGTTAGAAGGCGAGTGGACAACAAATGATTCTTCTGTCCTATACGCTTTCAAGCACGCAGCAACAAGGCGCCTGTAAAGAAGGTAGGCAGATTGAACCCCCGGCCAACGCTCGGCGGAAAATACGATCACTTCAAAGGCCGTATCCAGATGCCCTTGGACTTCCTCAATGGTGTGCTCTTTCCGAATTTCGGGATAGGAGAGGGTCCAGAGGACAGTGTTTAGAGCCATGAACAGAGCTTGCACAAAAACCCATGTCAGGTCGACCGATCCGGTGATCATCTGTTCCTTATGCATAGCGATATTGGAAATGGCCGCTTCGTAACATTTTTTGGCGGCACCAACGGTTGGCTCGGGAATCTGCGGCGAGGGACGATACATGAGAACAATGATGGTGTTCCGTCTTCCTTGAAACCTGTAGAAGTCATTGTCAGCAAATCCGCATCTCGGGAATGAGAATACCGACGAACCATTTCACATTGAGCCCACTGCCATCGTCGTTCTTAGGGGTAGTGGCCATCCAATGGTCGATTTTGGCCAACATCTGTGAAAACCATGGATCCTGATCATCAACTGGGCTCTCTCGTCTGTTCGAGTAGAGCATTCTCCTGGGCTCCAATTGGAGCAGTCGCATTTTGAAAAAGTGAACTGCAATACACTTTGCTAGAACGGGTTTCGCTCCAGGCGTGATCCCCTCGGCGGTGATGTACCGGTCGTCCACTAGTTCAAAGAATTTCACATTGATATGGTCATGGCTGACGCAGTAGCTGCTGCATCGACCTAGACTATGAGACAGACCGAATTCCATTGATGAGACGATCCAAAATAATCTTCGACGCATGTCGATCTCCAAGGGATTCAATGGTTTCCCACACCGTGACTTAGTGACGGTGGCTTCTTCGGTCAATCCCAAGTCCTGACAAAGTTTGGCAGCCGTCCCCACGACCCAGTACGCAGCTGTGCGAGTGGGCGTTACCATTGAATATGAGGCAATAAGCACGAGGCATTGTAGAGCCCCCAAATCCAACCGTTTCAGTGTAGGTTCGAGGTAAGGCAAGGCCGCAAGATAATAACTATCAGCGAGGCCAGCATATTCTGTGCTCATTTTCTGCATACTGATGGCGATGACCATCCGCAGTTGGAAGTTTTGACAGGGATCTGTCGAGCCATTGAAGACCTCCTCTACCTCTTGTCGAAACGTGGGCTCGTGGAGGAGGGGAAGTATTGCTTGTGCTATACAAATCAGTCATACGAGCTATACGAGAAGAATCCAAAGTGATCGCCATACCTTTGGCCACAAAAAGATCAATCAATTTATAGGTCAGGGCCTTTGGAGGTAGGTTGGGTTGTGGGATCGAGCTTATCATGGGATAGACTTTGGATGTCGGCTTCGAGTCTTCTTCGGCAAACGCATCTTTGATCTCTTGTGCGGTGAATTCGGGGACAACATCCTTGATGCTTTTAGAATCGGTGTTCTGCTTGGCCATTTCCATGACCAAACGAGTCATGGCAATGCCACTCGAGGCACCGAGATATCGCGCTTCATCGTTCTCCTTAAACCGGATGCGCCCGGCGCCCCGCACCATCAGCTCAGCATCGGCAGCATGTTGTATCTCCTTCTCAGCTTTGGCAAGCTCTCTTTCTAACGCCCGGGCTTTCTCTCGGAGCGATACGATATAGGTTCGAGGTATAGTGGAGTCTCGGGCCGAGTCATAATACACGCACTTGGCATTGCTTCGTTCGCAGGGCGCACATCGTGGAATCCCGGGGTCGCATCTGGATTTTCGCTACACGGAAGGGTGGGTCAGTCGGAGACAGTGCCACTAAAGGGGAAAACAAAGAGACAAAACAGGGCATCGGCGCCAAGGCACAGAGGGGCAAACGGTCCGAGATGGCGGGGAGGAGGTGGAGAGGGACCGATGTCGCATACCTGTCTACACCTTGTACAGGCTGTTAATGTATGAGCGATGCGACCGTCGGGTGGCTCTAGGGAGTGTAATTCCGGCGACTTCGGCCCTGTGGAGGAGTAGTCCGGACTCGAGGTCATGGTGGGCAAGGGTATCAGGAAGGTCGAAAAAGGGTCCTATCCCATCATCAAGTTTATACCCAAGGTAGGAGATCGATATTTTGAACAGTCGGCATGATGAGGCTCTCAGGCCTTTGGTGAGATTTTTGAGTTTCAAATGGGAAGAGGTTATATGGGACCACTGGGCCTCGGTCCAGATCTGAATCGACAGACTTTGGGTCTCCGCGTTGGAAAAGGGTTGGGCGTATGGGAGTGGGTATGTGGCACTGGCGCAGCTGAAAAAAAAAAAAAAGCTAAGCGTGAGAGGGAGTAATTTAGTATAATTTATTTAGTGAATTGATCATGTTTAATGTGTTTAATGATTATCAATATGTTGTATATCATTATAGCCGTTAATAGCCACTCTTAATACTACAAAAATAGCCATTTAGAGACGGATACTCATCAAGTCCGTGCGGTTCCACAGATCTTCCGCCCCCCCCCCCCCCTCCCCCAATTCCTGCCCTATAATAATTTCGAACAAGATAGTTGAAGTTCTCTCGTTTAAATTAGAGCTTATTATCTGACATTAATCGCTAATCCTTTCCTCATGCAGCTTCCGTGGACTGGGTAAGGATATTCTCTATATGTCATGTGAGTATTATTCTTTACCGTTTTAAAGTGGATGCAGGGGGGTTACGGAGGAGTGGGGGTCCCATATCCTCAAATTTGCTAACCCGTCTACAAGGATAATGAGCAGACATGTCCGTCACAACTACCTTTTTGGATAATCCTCTGCTCAAGGTTAGTCGTCCAGTCGCTGCCTGCTCGAGATGTCGGACCGCGAAGATCAAATGCGACGGCAAGCTCCCCGCATGTTCGGCTTGTGAAAGGGTCAGCAAGGCGAGCACTTGCTCCGGGGCAAGTGATGAATTCGCCAAGGGAAAAGAAAGAAGTTATGTCGCGTCACTGGAAGGCTATTGTGAGAAGTTAGAGAAGAAGATCAGTCAGCTACGTGCCCGATCAACCTCGCTGTCGGCTGAGGGCGATGGGATCCCTCGGGAAATGTCGATCACCTCCGTCTCGTGCGAAAGTGCATTGGGCCCTGCGCACCGCAGAGAGGTTTCGGACATTGACGATTTGGTTGGTGATTTTGGTTTCTTGTGAGTACCCCAATGGCTGAATTTGCTTTTTTGCTGGCCTCGCTGACATTCCAAAAGATCCGTCAATGCGACTTCGCGGGACTTCCACGGCATCACCTCGAGTACCTCCTTCGCCAACCTTCTCCTCTCAGTCGCTCTAGTCGATTCTCCCCCACCGTCCTCTCCTTATTCACTACCTCCGCGACACGAAGCGGCCCCGTTGCTCCAACACTATTTCGATAATGTTTTTGTCCAGCTACCTTTCTTTATCGAAACGAGCTTCTGGACATCGGTAGATGCTGTATATCAATCAGGTGGCCGGTTCGCCAAACCTTTCGACCATTGGATACTGCGTATGGTTCTAGCTATCGGCTTGGCGTCAGTCTCATATCATCACAATGATAAGAGCCATCAAAGGGCATGGGCTCTCGTGTCAGAGGCTTTAACGTATGCCAAGGAGGTCCTCCGCCCTGGGTCAATTTCGGGAATCCAAGCAATCCTACTGCTTGCTCAATATTCCTTGGTTGACCCGATACGCTTCCGTACTTGGTATTTGGTTGGAATGGCTGTCAAGGTTGCGATCGATCTGGGCTTGCATCAAGATCCTCCTGCTGAAGTTTCGATTAATCCCGATCGACTTGATATTCGCCGGCGTGTGTTTCATTGCATCTATTGTCTAGACAGGTTCGTGCTTCGTTCTGTTCTCTAATTGCTCCCCTGCTAATATTTTGTTACAGAGGATTGAGTCCTGCTATGCAGAGAACTTACTCGTTCTCTGACGGATCTGCGAACGTTGCACTGCCATCAATTGCCGCACCAGGGGCCCCCATAGAGCAAAGTCAGATCTTCCTACGTAGCCCGGCATCTGCCATGCATATCGTCAAAATTCGACAGATTCTGTCCGCAGGCTACCAAGAAATGCAGTACAGTGGGCGCGATCCATCCCCACAGCCCGTGGTCCTCATCTGGACTCTGTGCTGGCGAGCCCGGGAGTGGTTCCATGAATGCCCCAAGAATGCGCCCAATCACTTTTCACTTTTATACCGGCTCGAATTATTATACACCATTATCATCCTCCTATCCCCTTCACACCGATACCCAACGCTCCACGACTACAACAAAGCTCTTCTATTCGACCGGTGCATGGACTACATCAGCCAAATCCACCAGGTCCTCGAAAATCCCAGTGCCCTGCCTTTCCTGACATACCTGGACATTCAGCGTGTGCACCATGTGGGTCGATTATTTGTCGATGTCCTGTCCCACAATTACGACAAGCTCATTAGTGCCGCTGTCCCAGCACCTCCGTCCGTCCCCGCGGGGACTCCAGAACCGCCAGTACTGGCCGACGAGGACTTGTTCAATTGCCACGCACGTGCCATTCGCTGCCTGTCCTATATCCGCGACTTGCTCAAATATTGTGATAGGAGGTGGGACATACATGGACATCTAGAGCAGTTCGAGGACGAGTCTGCCTCTATAGAGAAAACTCTGATGGATGGCTCGGTGGGCTATATGTCAAATCAGGGGATGTATGCTCAAGACCCGTTGTCGGGCATGCCGCTGGCCGGCGATGCTTACTCGGGGTACCATCTTGGGCTGTGAAAACATTATCTGGTGTAACAATTGGTACGAATTTGAAAAAAGAAATAAGCGTGGCGGATTCTTTTTGTTTTTGTGAAATACCCCTCCACATGTTGTGCATAATGAATAATATTTACTATGAATTCGTCTCATTTAACCAGATGTTACTTCGACCTGCAACACGGCAGATGTACGACGCCTTCTTGCATACCACATACCACACTCAATCTCCGATCTAAACCAAAACCTCACCGCTATTAGTGTTCCTCAACGACACACCGCAGTTTCAACGCTCGTTTGTAATGTTTGGTGCTACTACGAGGTCATGGCGTACTCTAGAGAATCATTGAGCCTGGTATTGAGCCCCAATCGCATATGAAGTACCTTGAAAGGCTATCTACTGCACTTGATAAGGTAAAACGGCAAAGAACACTGTAGTAAGCAATGCAAAGACAAAAGTCAACGCTTACGCATACAGTTATTTTAGAACAATTTCGCTTAGTCACCAGTCATCTTTCGGACTATTCTTAGCCTGATGGAGTTGATATGGGATAATAAAAACTATAACGTCGGTGATGTAGCAGAGCAAGCTTCACAAGATTGTGCCGTGGACTTGGTCTGCAACGTCGAGCAAGATCGATCATATTCGGATCGCCCTCCATCTGTTCTTACCGCGAAGGTGGGCGGCATGATGTATGCAAAAATATCATTCTTTTTGTCGTCTGAGAACAAAACATGCCGGGATATTTCTGGGAAAACTAAGGAACGCTCCCTGGATCCCGAAAGATCTAGTAAATAGGGCACTAACCTGAGTTTCGCAAATCGCCATTTTTCTCGCCCGATATACCGTCAGTTAGCAGTACGGGGCAATAGGTTCATTGCATGCACTTCCTATATCCTAGGTGATTAGGAGTTTGTAATATTCACCTCTACTCCATCATTGTTAGAAAGGACTACGTCAAAGTGCATGGTGTAATGTGAGATAGATTGGAGAGTTGTGGAAGCTAGGTTCTACAGAGCTAGGAAATTCGGCAACTATGCTCTTAGACGTCTCCATAGACCTCTCTCCTAACACCTCTCCTATCAAGGCTTGAAGGTTTAAGCCAGTGACGGTTACAAATCGAGAATTAAGCTCAAACCAAGCTTGATATTACTTTCGTCCTTACTTGGTAGTCATGTATCGATGTTTATTAGGCGCTTTAGAAGCTTGAATATTGTTTCAAACCACGGATACTATCGTCCCGAATTAGGACTAAGGCACTATAAAAAACAAATACAGGAAAAGAAAAACGGATAGACAGACAAGAAGAAGAAGAAGAAAGGAACAAACAAGAGGAAGAGGAACATATGCAGAACACAAGGCCATCTTCTCTGGATGAGCCAAAAAGACAGCACTTCAGGGGAGGAATTGTGCTAGCCTTGTAATCCATATTCCGTTGCAGGGTAACACCAACAACAAGGGGAACAAAACGCAGCATATACTTCAAGAATCCTCAGGGCCTTTCTAGTTGAAGGAGACAAAACTTGCTTATGGTGGTTCAATGTCGATACGAAAGAGGGTCGCCGTAAGTGGCAGAAAGAGACCATCAATGTTATCACAGAAAATTGCACACTCACCACCGTGGCATTAAACAAACTCACTTTTGAGGCATCCAAGGAGGAAAAGAAAGGCCTTGGAGGTGCGAAAATGCTAGCGCGCCAACTCCCAGGCTAGGATACTAAACATATCTCTATGTGAAGGGGTTTAAGAAAGGAAAGGGGGAATGAGAGTCCGAGCGAGCTAGCAACACAATGTCCGAGTCCCTCCTAGCCATAGAAGCGTGTCAAGGCACATACCAATGTATTAAAATAATAGATCAAGGTCGGTCGAGGTCGAGGGAGCCAAGATCTTCCAGGAGCTGCAGTAGAAGGAGGCCAAGAATGATTGCTTTAACTCGGTTCATCTACCTGTCCTTTAAGATCCTTATATATATCTATGCGAGATATTATGTTGGAAGGGAGGGAAGACGAAGCATCTTATAAGCGCTTAACTAGAGGAACAACTAACATAAGTCGAGCGTTAACGTTAACTAGGACCTGAGAATGACTAATAGTGCTAGACGGATGCAGAATAGTGGTATAGGGCAGAGGGGGGGACGATACAGAAACACAGAGAGTTGAATACCATTGATTGGACACATTTTACAACACGGAATACATCGACATTTTCTTGTCAGATCAAATAATGGACCGATCCGGATTGATTCAATATGACTCATATTGTATACATCGTGACACGTTTGTTGACCAGGCCACCATGAGGATATCGTATAAATTGAGATAGTGCGTTGATTATTCGTCGCATTCTTGGGCAATATGGATGATTACCTTGATATTTTCGGTCAACAGACCTTCACCATCAATATCCAGTCATGTCTTTGTTTTACCGTCCCTGATGCTACCGCACATTCAGAAATTACTGCCACTCTCGCCAGAGGTCTTGAGCGACTCCATGGGAGCTTTCCGTGGTTAACAGGTCAAGTTGTCAACGAGGGATCGGGTGACGGCCATACAGGCCACTTCATGATTCGACCAACAGAAGATATCTCTCACTTGATAGTGAAGAATCTTCAGCATGACCCCCATGTACCGGCAATGGATGTCTTGCGGCGTGCCAATTTCCCAATGAGCATGCTCGATCAGGACACTCTGGCACCACGCAAAATTTTTCCAGAAAGCAAATTAGAGTCTGCACCCGTGTTCCTTATTCAGGCAAATTTCATAACTGGCGGACTCCTTCTCACCTTCGTTGCTCAGCATAATGTCATGGATGCGACTGGTTTAGGCCAGATCATCCATCTTTTCTCAAAGGCTTGCCGTGATGAACCGTTCACACCCCAGGAACTTCGGGATGGCAATCTTCCACGCCGCGATATAGTTCCGTTGCTCAAAGATACTCAGGCAGTAGGCACCGATCTTGGTCGCTACATTGTCAATACCGCGCCATACCGGAATGTATTCGAGTCGCCGCCAAAATGCACATGGACGTCCTTCAAAGTTTCTCCCACCTCTCTGAAAAGCCTGAAATCCATCGCCATGGAATCTATCACATCTCCCTTCTTCGTCTCTACGGATGACACTCTGACCGCATTCGTTTGGCAATCTATCGCTCGGGTCCGTCTGCTTCGCCTGGACCCTTCCTCTCAATCCACAATCATGCGCGCCATTGACGCACGGGGTCTCCTAGATATTTCCCCACTCTATCCAGGACCCATACAGAGTAACGTGTATACTGGCTATACTCTTCAGGAATTGACGGAAGAGCCGTTAGGTGGCGTTGCATTGAAACTCCGATCAGCTCTGAACGACAAATCGCACTTGGAACACCATACACGCGCTATTGCCACCTTCCTCGACCACACACCTGACAAAAGCATCTTCTCATTTGGGGCAACACTTGATACGTCAGTAGATCTCATTTTCAGCTCATGGGCAAAAGTGCCGAGCTATGGTTTCGATTTCAATCTTGGGCTGGGATTGCCTGAGGCCGTGCGAAAGCCACGATGTAATGAGGTAGAGGGGCTGACTTTTCGATTGCCGGACACACTTGAGGACGAGGTCGTGATTGCAGTCTGTTTACGAGATGAGGACTTGGAAAGGCTGTGGTCAGAACTCGATTTCATTAAGTATGCGGAGCACATTGGATAATTAAGAGGCTAGTATGTAGAATTATTGAACAATTTAAAGAAGGACATTGACAGAGGGCAATTTTAAAGGACCCCACGGGATGTTATCAAAATGGCCCTCTGTTGGGGTAGCAGCAATCGGACATAGTAGCTACAGTATATACCGGATGTGCGCTGCAGAAGGAGAAATGCGAGATGCTCGAGTGGACCTCCAACTTCAGTGGGCGCAGCCCCGAAGATACCACAGTGACGAGTGAAGCACTGAATGGCATCAGTCTTCTCGTGGAGAAGTTGGCGGATGCGGATGACCTCTTTGCGAGACTTGAAGATGCTCTGGAGGACCAGACCAATGTCTTCGGGTCGTATGATGGACACGCTGTCTTCCATGACTTCCAAACCAGCTTGGATGCGGTCTATGAAGGGGGCAAAGCCGTCTACAATGTCGTCGCTGGGGTTTGTTTCCTTTAACCCCTCTAAACTTTCGACTTATGAACGGTAGGATAATTTATGGGGAGCCAGATACACCGATTTCCTGAAGGATCAATCACATAACGAAAAAAAATATCATCATTAAATATAGTGCTCAGTCTCAGTCAGTTTACTGAGCTTCCAGCACATCCTTTTCTGATTTTACTTCATTCTTAGGCGCGTTGATTTCTAGTGGCTTCTTGATATCGGCCACCGAACCCGGAAGACCAACTGAGGCTGTGCCTGGAGCGATGCAGGTCATACACTGCATCAGTCCCGCTCAGATCGAGTAGATAGGCCCAGAATATCCTTTGTTGGTGTGGATATATGTACTCCGTACCACAGTGGGAGGTTCTTTTATAACCCAAATCGAGGCCAGATCGGTGGATTTAGCAGCAGATCGTGACAGACCAGCTATCGAACTTTTATTACAGACCATCTGAAATACACATCAGCTATGTATACTAAAGCACACTTGTTTAATATTGCTTTAAATCTGACGAAACAAGCATCATCCCCAAGCATTCTAATCAAAGGATGATTATTGAGTCATTGTATTGTTTACTCCTAAGTTGGTAGGTGCCCCCTGTAGTTGAAAGATATCCAATATCGAGACGGCAACAAATCAGACAGAAAGCCCAATGAATCATGATGAGAAAAATCAAGATAGCGATAGTCCTCTTGGCCACAAAGGACTCCTAGTCTAGTCCAAGATAGTATCAGTAGGGAATTTCCGAAGTCCACCCGGTGATCGACAGAGCCTCTCTCGTGTTGACCCCAACGGGCAAGCGAACGGAACATTCGGTGCATCATGCAAGTGCCTGTTATCAAAATCGGCTTATTTCCGCTATTAGCGCTCTATCATATCTTCTCACTATTCTCAACGGCCTAGCTTATATGCCAAAGTAGGTCGGTCGAATCACTGTCCTCTGTGGTGAATATCGCGGGAGTGGCCAACAATAGCCGGGTTTCCGGCAATCCCTATACACAAAGAAATAACTCAAAGAAAATTCCCTGGGGGATATAGGTGGCACCCAAGCTTTTGGCGTGGATTCCAAGTCCCGAAGTGGCTCGCGGCATTCAAAGGCATCCAGTCAAGCTAAGTTTGACCATTGCCTTTGTTCCGGTCAATCTAGGGGTTCTAGCGGTCAATTGATTCCGATCAGCCAATGGAAAACTGTCTGTATGGCCGTTTGGATCATCGAGGAAACGTGGACTGGAGACCTGGACAACCGGAAAGGGGGTCCCTAGAAGTTTAAACTGTGGTTGACTATAAATGACCAATAAGGTATGTTGGATGGTTAAGTGGAGATAAGTAATCAGGGCTGATTGGCAACATAAATCCACGCTATTGGAGCCAAAAGTCAACTTACGAGCTCTTGCAGGTTTCCCTGTGTACCCTGCAGATCATTCTTTGTTTCTTATTCCACTGTAACGTCGAAACATCAGAGCGAGAGAAAGGCAAATAACAAGGATGGGGTCCTAGAGTAGACGACCCCTTTAAAGTGGGTTTGGATCAGGGGTTTGACCTGGATGAAGATGCGTACATGTTTCAAGGCTGGAATAACCAGATTTCCGGTGGAAAACAAATTTTATAATTCGGTCGAGTTACTCGGGAGCCAGTGGAACAGTCCTGGAGTTTAAGCTCATCTAAGCCAATCTAAGGCCAAAAAGACCTCGCTCTACGTAGCCTAAATATGGGTATGCAGATCTCAATTTGGACCTCTTGTCCGGTGATATCCGGACACTTCGATTTCATCTCTACGATTTAGGATTGTTGAATGATTTGACAGGCTCTTAGGACGTGTGGGCTCCAAGGAACTATGAATGTTACGTGTGAGCTGCAGCTACAGTGCTTTGTACAAGTGCTAATTTCGACAAGGTATCATATATACCCTTGATGTTTCTTGCCTTTGAAGACCCTAGCAATAGTCCATATCTAGACAGGACACTGTGCTGACCCTGTTTGAGTTGATTTGGTACGTATGACACGAAATCCCGACCATAAAGGAGATGTTAGTCCCACTTAATACTTCTTTGAGACTCCATTATATCGATCCTTTCGAAATCACGTCAACTATGGAGCTGACCCACTAGTCTAGGATACTGCTGCTTTGTTGACAAGCTGCAAAGGCTTGAACAGGGGCCAGGGGCAAGCAATATCGTACCTGTAGATCACATCCAGCTCACGGCGTATAAATACTGTGTTTCTCTTCACTCCCGTCAAAATTCTCTTCTTCTCCCAAGCTTCTTACCATAGTCATTCTTTAAGCAAAAAAAACAGCCATTCTTTCCAGTTTCCATATCTCCATTAATTTCACAATGAAGGCCTCTTTCATCGCTACCGTCGCCGCTCTGGCCAGCTCTGCTTTCGCCGCTCCTACCCCATTTGGTGGCCTTGACAGCGTCCTCGGTGATCTCAAGGTTGGCGACATCACCAAGGAGCTCAAGCTTTCTGAGGTTCCCACTGTCTCTAAGCTCGGTGACCTGACTAAGGTCCTGAACCTTCCCGCCTCCCCCTCTGCCAGCAGCACCCCCGCTGTCCAGGACGGTCACGTCGTCCAGAACCTCGGACCCCAGCTCGACAACATCCTGACCGTTGTTGGCCCTGACGCTACCACCCTGCTCATTGAGCTCTCCCCTGAGGTTTCTGCCCTCGTCTCCGGCCTTGGTCTCGGCGCCCTCGGTGCTCCCCTCGGTTCCATCGTCGCCTCCGCCTCCAGCCTTGGTGCTCTGGTCACTGGCCTTGGCCCCGTCGTCGACGGCCTCGTCACTGTTGTCGGCACTGACGTCGGTGCTCTCCTCATCAGCCTCTCCCCTGAGGTTTCTGGCCTCGTTTCTGGCCTTGGTCTACCTACCGTTGGTGTCCCCGTCGGTACCGTTGTTGCTACTCTCGGCAAGAACCTTAAGCGTGGCGAGATTGTCCAGGACCTTGCCCCCATGGCCAAGACCACCCTGACTGTCACCGGCCAGAACGCCAAGCAGCTTCTCATCGAGCTCTCCCCCTCCGTCACCTCCCTCGTTGCTGGCCTCGGTCTGACCACCATCTCCGGCCCCATTGGCTCCATCGTCGCTGAGGCCGCTGATGTTGGTGACCTCGTCAAGGATATCTCCGAGCCCGTTGAGAACCTCCTCCACATTGTCGGCAAGGACGGCAAGCACCTCCTCGTCAAGCTGTCTTCCTCTGTCGTTGAGCTTGTTACTGGTCTCGGCCTTCCCACTGTTGCCACCCCCCTCGGTGCCATCCTCACCACCGTCGCCCAGAACCTGTAAAATGTTTACAGGCAGTGGTGTCACTCTAGTTGAATAAGCTTGTATAAGGTCTGACCTTGGTTCCCGTTCGGTACACAATCACAACAATTTACTATATACATAATACAATCTCTACGTTATTTGATGAATATGGGCGGCTAAATACGTTTCTTATCCTGATCGATTTGTGCAGGCGTCTGGAATCAAACTAAAGAACTGAAAATCAGAACAAGGGATCCTTTGAAATGGGCGAAAGGCTGCCTATAGTTTCTACCCCGTAACCAATATAGAATCCGAATCACGAGATGCCATAACAGATGTCGCTTCAGACTGCACCCGTTTTAATGTCCCCGTACGCCGGGACTGCATAGTCGCCGAAACAACTGTCCTCAAACTTCGCCTTTACAATGTTTTCCTTCTGAGCCTCGATGAACGTCTGCAGCTCGCACCATCCGTCATCCCGCTTCCCGCATGCTGGGATACTGTGTCCGAGAGAGATTGTCCTCTGGTTGATCAACATGTGCACATATGTTGTTTCACGCCCCTTGGACTCATATACTGAGGTATTGGGATCCTTCGAGCGCTTCGCACGTACGGGCCGCGGCGCTTTGATGATTTCGATATTAAAGCGGGCAGCGAACGGAACAATATGGCTGACAATCAGTTGGTGGTCTTCCGGTGGACCGGAGGTGGGAAGAAACTGCTCAAACTGTGTGAGGCCTAGCGCAGTCAACATCGAGAACATGGTGGTATCGTGACTGAAGTCCAAATACAAGTTCTGTTTCAAAGGGAAGGTTGTGGGCTTGGTGTCCAGTGTTTCATTGATGGCAGCAAACCCCTCCTCTGGTCGAGGGTAGCGGTGCTCCAATCGGGCAACGAGCTCTTGGACGTAACCCACGCCCACTGCCCGTCCGGTGGGAGACCCAAATCCATTTCCTCCATAGTAGCTTAGGGCAAAGGTATACTCGAAGCCTTCCCACTCGTCCTTGGTAAAGAGGGAGCAGAAGGGGCTGTATCCCAAGCCGACGGTCTCATATGGACACATCGTCTGAGCAAGATAAGTGTCCTCGATTGTCCAGTCTGGGTGGCCCGTCATCGATCGACGGAATCGATCTGTTGCACGCTTCAAATATTTCTTCTGCCATTCGGCGCTTGCCCAGTCTCCGCCAGCTGACCGCTCGTTATTGTTGTTGGGGCATGCCTTGTCTCCGGCCAGAGGATTCTTGAATCCAGTCTCTTCGATAATGACTTCCAAAGTGACGTTCTCGGCATATTTAGGTCCGAAGAATCCGTTCAGGAAGTTCTCAGCTGACTGTAACATTCGCACTTGAGTGCATGTGCGGGCGATAAGTGGTGAGGATGGATCATAAAGTTGACCATAGTTGAACCAATTGAGCACACCGCTGTCAAAGAGCTGCTGGCGCCCAAGAGCCGTCAGCTCTTCTTTTCCCAGTCGATATTCCCAGGTGTTGAGGAACTCCAGATTACCAGTGAAGCGAGTCCCGTTGGCGAGAAGCTCCGCTATACGGTTTGGCAGAGTGGCCACAGAGGCGCTAGAAGTGGGATACCGAGATCCGTGTCGATGTACCATATGCATCTGTGTGATATTGGCACCGGGAGGAAGTGCGTATTCTTTAACCCCAAATCCAGACGGATTAGGCATATAAGGCCTTGGCTCCATTGTAAGTTATGTATAAAATAAGCCAGTGAGCTTTGGTCATACGTACGAGAGATTGCCCATATGTTTGAATGAGTCAGCACCATCACCCTTTCCAATGATAGGTACATCAGTCACCACCGGGGTATTGGGCACATAGTCATGCTTCCCAAATGGAGCTGGATTTGTCTGGGCCAGGAAGGGTGCGCTTCCGGCCTGTGTCGGGCCTATGTTTATACCTGTCAACACTTGAGGGACTAATTGATGGGAGTGGAAACATCTACCTGCAAACGGACCATAGCTAGTCTGGAAATAATCCGGGATTGTGGATGTTCCTCTTGGCTTCACGGCAGCATCCACAGCCGTCGCAACCCCAAGAAGTAGAAACTGAGAATAGATATGCATCACGAATAATCTTGGTCAATATGATCAATGACGCTCAGCAACCTGATTTATATTTCTCACTTCATGCTCCTGTTCGACCTTTTATAAAGGAATGATCTCACATATGCGGAGTTGAGTCCTTGCAGCACATAACACATGCACACCGAACGGATTTCTCAGTAGCCGATCCATGTCGGTAAGTTCCGATCAATTGGGCCCTCGCGACATGCAAAGTGGGGACAATCTGACGAGAAATGTCAATTTTCAAATGTCCCCGTGGGGCCCCGCGTTTTTTTCAACGTTCAATACCCCACCCGGATACATGGATGTAACCCCGTAATTCCCCGATTATCCTGAGTCGCTAAGCATTTTACCGACTAAGCGAGAGATACGCCAAGTATTCCTCTATTGGCCGCCACAATTGTTCTCGGAATCATGTTTCCTATTCATTCGTCAAATACACCAATTGGAATCATCTTTTGTGATATTTGAGACGGCCTTTGAAGGCAACAGAACGCAGTCATGTGTCAGGGTCAATCCTTTGCTGACAGTGCTCCTATTCGAAATCGGATTCGTGTCAGTGGCCGACTAACTGGTGGACCTGTGGGCCCTATCCCGCATTTTGACCACGAGCTACTTGGAGACTTGGGAATAGCCGGCCTCAAACAACGTTCCCGCTCTTCTACATAAATAAGCCCCGACTCCACAAAAAAATGTCTCGCGCCCCAATAATTATTTCTCACGCCTGGAGCTTAGTTATATGACTATCCTTTCTCCTTTTGTTCATATCTAAAGCTTGGGATTTCAGCTTCGAAAAGGACAATCATGACCAAGGACGACATTTCGTCGGCAGGGAATGCCTTCGGAGATGTCGAACGCCAGGATTCCGTGCCTACGGCCAAAGCAACCAACAATGCGAAAGCGGCTACCGAAGCGGAGCATAAGATGACCCTGTTACAAGGTATCAGAACTTATCCGAAGGCGATCGGGTGGAGTGTTCTTATTTCCACGTGTATCGCGATGGAAGGCTACGATATCAGTCTGGTCAATAATTTCTATGCATTTCCCCAATTTACACGCAAGTACGGCGAAATGATGGCAGATGGTTCCTATCAAGTCCCAGCTGCAGTAAGTTAAGCCAGTGGCTACTACTTCTGTCTCTCCCCCATTCATTGCTTGTTACTAATGAAATTGTCGCATATAGTGGCAAGCTGGTCTCAGCAATGGCGCGGCTTGTGGAGAAATCATTGGCCTCTTGATCAACGGATGGGCTTCGGAGAGATTCGGATATCGCTATACAATTATGACTTCCTTAGCCCTGATCACTATATTCACGGCGATCTTTTTCACGGCGCCAAACATTCAAACCCTGCTTGCAGCGGAAATCCTCGCCGGAGTTCCATGGGGCATTTTCCAGACACTGACAGTTACCTATGCATCTGAAGTCTGCCCTGTCGTTCTAAGAGGATATCTCACGTCATACGTCAATTTCTGCTGGGGACTAGGACAATTGATAGGCATTGGGGTCATCAAATCGATGCTGAATCGGGATGACGAATGGTCATACCGGATTCCATATGGATTGCAATGGATGTGGCCAGTTCCTCTCTTTGTTGCGATTTTCCTTGCCCCGGAATCACCTTGGTGGTTGGTCAGAAAGAATAGGGATGAAGACGCGAAGAAGGCACTCATACGCCTCACAAATGCTGACCGAAACTTGGATTTCAATGCGGATGAAACAATTGCTATGATACGCCACACTACCGATCTCGAATCGAAACTTTCAGATGGAGCCTCATACTTTGACTGTTTCAAAGGGACCAATTTACGGCGAACAGAGGTTGTTTGTCTTGTGTGGGCAATTCAAAACCTCAGCGGCAATTCCTTTTCCAATTACTCTACATACTTCCTAGAACAGGCAGGATTATCAGCATCCAATTCATATTCATTCGCGATGGGACAATATGGGATCAACATGATTGGTGTCTTTGGAGCATGGTTCCTCATGTCTTTTGGAATTGGCCGAAGAACGCTATATCTCTATGGTCTCTGCGGACTATGCACTATCCTATTTTTGCTTGGTTTCCTTGGCCTAGTTCCTAGTGCCCATAGGGATCAAGCATCACTCGCAACAGGCTCACTGATGCTCTGCTGGGCATTATTCTACCAGCTTTCCGTCGGAACTGTGGCCTATTCACTCGTGGCAGAAATCTCCACTCGTCGACTGCAAATCAAGACCGTGGTTCTCGGTCGCGTCCTGTACAATATTATCGGTATCATCTGTGGTGTGTTAACTCCCTATATGTTGAACCCTGCCGCCTGGAATTGGAGTAATTTTGCAGGGTTTTTCTGGGGAGGAGTTTGCTTTTGCTGTGTTGTATACACGTTTTTCCGAGTTCCAGAAACAGCCGGTCGCACTTTTGCTGAACTTGATATGTTGTTTGAAGAAAACGTGTCGGCCAGAAAGTTTTCCAGCACCCAAGTTGAGGTATTTGGAGATCGGGAGGAAGTGGAAGTGGTCGAGCACAATGCCAAATAATGAGGAACTTGTATGCTGTCATATCTGCTGTGATTGCCAGGACAAGTGATATTAGTCAATTGTGGCGTAATTTTTGTTTTGTTCTACTTCAGCTTATAATCAGGACCTGTGATTCCATCTGCAGCGAACGGTCTTACGCAAATTTCAACCTATTAATTATTATTATTTTTGTTTATAATGCACATGGTCCCGTATTTGCGCACTAATTCCACAGGAGCAGCTCATGAGTATATCCGTGGACACTCTGGGAAAATGGCTTAGAATATTCAACACTCATGCGCAGATGACCTTGGAATGAAGTATGGTGAGTAATAGAAACGACTTGATAACAGCAAAGAATCCAGAAAAGTCGCAGTAGATAGTGAAACAAAAAGCAAGGAGGCTTTTGTAAAGAAACACGACAATGTATCCCGGTAGAATCAACTTGAAGGAAATCACAGCATAGCACAAGCCCACTCGAGGACATAAGTGCATTCTTCTCGGTGTTATTACAAAGGGACCTCAATATCCTCGTAGTCATCTGTTTGTATCAGATTTTCCACCGTATAGCCGCCTATACTGAATGTTCCACAATCTATTTGCTGTCCAACCTTCCGGCACAATGTCTTTAATATACCTCTCGATCTTCTTCATCACAAGTTGGCCGTAGAGCTTCCGGGCTCAAATCTCTATGCCAGGATCAAAACATATATATCGGTCTTCAGGGCGGGGACAAGCTTCATTGCATTTTCAAATGGCATGGCATCTATATCCCACTCCTGATTGATCATCCACAGCACAGTTCTTCACGAAGCGCAGAGCATCACTTTCCAGATTTGGAAGTTCTCGTAACATTAGTAACAGCTTTGCCATTGTCTGGGTTGTTTGATTTCCCCTTCTAAATCGGAATCCTATCGTGTGGCAGATCAGTCAGCTATTGCGGAAGAAAATACTGACAAACATCGCCTTGTGCTTGTGGAGCGGTCATATCTCACTCACATAGTCGTAATCCACGATGTTGAGGTGGAGCTTGCGTACGTTCTCTTTCGCCCGTGGGTGTGGTATGCTAGACTTGAAACCCTCTCAGCTTCCCTCCTCATCGTACAATGAGATAATGCGGAATATGTAAGTGCTTGCGAGGCTACAAAGCGCCCAGTTTGTTAGACTCAGAGCCTTGAGGGCTTCTCAATCTAACAGGGACGCAAGAGAGATGATAATTCTGCCATCTTCCGTCTTCCCTAAGTTGTAACAAGCACTAGATACGGATTACGATAGAAGAAGATCAATCAAATGATGAGAATGTTCTCGGTATTTTCTGGGCATCCGTATCTAGTAGACCGAACAGGGGTTGAGGTTAAGATATCCGGCGCTAATGCCAGGGCCTGGGCGAAAAGCGATTCTATAACTGATGAACAGGAAATCCACGTCACTACAAGGGAGAGCAAGAAGATGATTAGCAGAGATAGATGTGGATCTCGACATACTGTCATGGAGCTATATAGCTCCATGACAAAATTAGAAAGATGCCCTTGAATCAAACTGTCCCTAGGGGTTCCTTGCATTATATACCTTTACATATCTCCCTTGCTAGGGATTAAAGGAGTCAGAAAATATCGCTCAATTAAGATTCACATGCTTTTATTGGGTCACTAGGAAATAGTGCGGTAAACCGAAATTCTAATATTTTAGTAGTAATAAAAGTAGAATGGGCCTACAAGGAGTAAACTTTGAAGCTTAAGATCCATTAGATTAGAGAAAAATCGGCTAAATTTATCAGCGATCGATCGGCGCTACCTATACTAGTGTGTGCTTCCTAGGAATGCCTAGATATGGGTAACAAAATATGATTGGATACTAGCACAGTCTTTTATACTTTTTTAACATCTCATGTCAAAAAGAGGCTGGCTGCTATCAACTCTCAGTCTGATCTCAAAGTTGGATAGTACACCTATGTGACAAGATCTTAGATAGGGGTAAGGTATGACTTGGTTATGTATGTAGTTATCCTGTTTTGGCAGTGATCAAAACGAACTAGGCGGTTGTTAACATGTAGTGCCTAGTTGCGAGAATCTGATACTTTTTTCGGTTAGACATAGGTAATAATATTGGCCTTGTTGGTTGCTATGCCATGTTACAGAAAAGTGAAATTTCCTTGGACAGATTTCAATTGCTCAATATATATATATATATCGAGCCTCCTTAGCTCAGTAAGACGCCACACGGCGTAACCATATGCAGGGAAAAGCCACCGAACATAACCTTGGAAGCAAGCATCGATAGCAAGCAGGTTATAGTAGAAAAGGAAAACAAGGTGGAAAACTTTGGAAATACCAAGACTTAATTAAGGTTGTCCTTTTCGCACCCAGGCGCATCATCATCAAACATCCCCAAATGCCAAGTAGCTAGATGAATCCACAATGCAGGGAATATTCGTTTGGTCCTTGGCTCGGAATATTATAGTCATTCCAGTCAATTAAATATGTACGTACCCAAAATTATGGTATTATACCCCGAAGCGGTTGGGGGAAATCTTAAGTTTGGTCACGTACCAGATGAGTGTGACAGGCCTAGCTCAATCAAGACACTCAGATACTATGAATCATAGTATATATAGCTCGCTCTATACCGAGAAAGCAGCAGCCGTTGCCGGAACTTGTATCAACGGCTATGCCCCGCCACGATATACCTGGAACTACATAGAGATACACTGGCTAAATAACTGAACTGATATAATCGTAATTATTTTTTGGAAATATCAGAAACTGTGCTCGTATAAGATCACGAGTACTAATTCTAAACATACATGAACGTTGGTTAACAAGAACATATCCCTTGCTACATGGGCTGAAACTAGACTCAAGAACACAACATACGCCCGATAATGGAGTACATATCCATAGCCCCTGACGCACAAAAATTTGATCAAAGTGTGAGAGGACAAACATTATCCAGTGGTCCGAGCTATCCACTGTATGGTGCATTTGCTCCAAAGTAGAAACTCTAGTGTAATAGGTATACCTAATAACCTGATTACTAAATGTAGTAGAACGCGTATCGTGCTTGACTATCTAACTTTTCCAAACCTTGGGAAAAGCATAACTTTTGGTACGTAACTAGGTAGCCCCAACCTTGACACGCAAGTGTCCTATCAGAAGGTCACCTGGCCCTCCGCAATCGGGGCTATCCCCCAAAAGTCCCCGATTTTATTCTTCAGGGACCCAATTGAAATCAATCTATATCAACAGAAGAATGTCTTATCTTTGACTTTCTCCGCCACTCTTTTGCCTCGTATCTCGCTCGGCTTGTGCATATATCCCCTTACTCTAGGTCTTCCCCTCCGAGGCTTCTTTCTCTTGTATATATCCCCCTCCTGGCAACCATATTTCCGCCTTGCAATGTGTGTTTTATAACTGCGCAATACGACTCCAACAGCGATGTGCTCATGTCGCGTGCCGACATACCCGGCAGTAATTTCAGCTTCGCTGATCGCTCCGCCGACCGATTCGCGGTGCTCACCGTAGTCGCCTGTTTCATTGGAATTGCCTGGTATAATGCATTGGAATTGATTGTTCTGTGCTTCGCCACCTTCAAGAGATATGGCGGGTGCTATTTTTGGTGTCTCCTCGTCGCCTCCTTCAGTATCATCCCTTTTGGTCTCGGATATATCCTCATCATCTTCAACATATACACTAGCATGTTCCCCGTGGCAATGGAGCTAGTCGCCTGGGTTGGGATGGTAACAGGCCAGTCCCTAGTCCTTTGGTCTCGATTGCATCTCGTCTGTCACAGCCCAACCGTCCTTCGCGCCACTCTCGTTATGATCATCGTCGACGCTATCATCCTACACATTCCCGGATCCGTCCTCGAGCTTGGCAGCCATTCGAACAAATCCTCCCTCTTCTCCGCCGGATTCAACATCTTCGAGCGTATCCAATTGATCGGATTCTCCATTCAAGAAATCATCCTCTCCGTCATCTACTCTTGGGAAGCTGTGCGACTACTGAATCTCCGCCCAAGAGGCCGTTACCGAGGCACCCTGGTCCAACTTTTGATCGTGAACATAGCCATGATTCTCATGGACGCCGCCATTATCGGAGTAGAGTACTCGGGCTTCTTCGAAATCCATGTCGCCCTCAAGGCAATGGTCTACAGCGTGAAGCTCAAGCTGGAATATGCGATCCTAGGCAAATTGGTAGGTATCACTGAGAACGGCGGCAGCAACTCGGCCCCGACCGATCTGTCTGATTTCGTGGATATTTCATTCCATAACAATAGCACACCACAGCCGGATAGCGACAGATTCACAGAGATTCCCGATTACGGTGCCCACCCTCGTACACGATCGTCCTCCAAGGGCTCGTCCACGGACCCGCTAAGAGGGAATCTCCCCGCTGCTCAGACTCCAATTGCGAGTGACCGAGGCTCCTGACGATTCCACATGTAAATAATGACCCTCTTGTTTTTGTACATAGAAACTACTCAGTATATAATTCACGACATACACCGTCTTAATCAAGTTTTAAATGTCTCACATATAATGAGGAGGAAGGAATAGCCCCTCACCCCGTATCTCGCATCGTCGGATACCGCCGCGAACCTCAAGATACCAAACCGAGCACGATATAACAATCCACAATCCCCAAACCCACCTTACCCACCTTATCCACTCAGATATCCTCACCCACCTATACTTAGTCCCCACAATACAAACCATACCTCACAATGACCTCTCCCAACCCAAGCCTAATCCCCCTAACACAACCCCAACTTACCGCCGCATCCCATGCAGTCCTCATCCACCAAGCGCAAGCACAAGACCTGCACAAAAAGCGACCATTTGCAGCAATTCTCCTAGCCCCAGACAACGAAACAATCCTCCTCTCCTCGAACTCTCTCTCGCACGTGCGGCACGCAGAAAGCGAGCTCGCGCGCAACGCCGCGGAAAACTACGACTGGGCGTACCTGGCGCGATGTACGCTGGTGTCGACCTGGGAGCCGTGTGCGATGTGCGCGGGCGCCAT